TTCCCTAAATTAACCGATGTGGGACTTTCATCATCCAACACTACACACCCGGCTTCCATTTCGGCTTGGCGACTTCGGTGGCTCTATCTCGGCTTATCTGGAGAGTTAAGGTTGATAATGTTTATGAACCAATGTCATGAATCCACGTAAGTTATGCCATGTTTATAAGATATGGTATAATGTGATTATGTCATGTTGTAGAATCATGTTTATGATATTGATAACTTATAATGCTTAAACTTCCATACACCACACCATTTAAGTTAGGTTATGTACGAAAGATTTGACAGGAATGATGTATGCATGATTTATAGACTCATTATGTTATAAATGAATAAAGATTTGATTCGTGGCGTTGGTGTGCTAACCTAATAAGCCATGCCTAGGAGTATGAATACAAACCCATCTCATGATTCCATATATGCGTACATAGGTCGTGTGTAAGAAAGTACTACATATTCAACCCTATTCGGACTGGAAAGCGGAGCCCAAGACCATGGCATGATGTTTTTAAAAGGATAAATTCCACCATATCACACGTGATTGCATTTTTCGACTTCAACAATGAGGTTACATGTTGAGTATTTCTTAAAATACTAAAGTCACGTTCTACTTTTATTTTTTCATGGTCATGCTTGTTCAGAGTGCGTTAACTGTAGCCGCATGGCCATATCATACCAAGCTCTTATATCTACTTTCATGTTATATTACATTTTTTTTTTTTTTTTGTTGTGGGTGACAGTTTGAAGAAATCCGGTTTACTTCTATCAGACATCAATCACCTCAAAAAGTACTATAAGGAGAACCAAGTAAGCTCCTCCCAACCAAGCGTTATAATATCTCTTGCCTACATGTTTTCAATGCAATTGACATTCATAATATTTTCTTTCAAACGGTTCTCAACTAATTTCTCCCGTTCATGTTTTATTCTTATTATTTTCATTTATTATTTTCTTCGTAATTTGGACTTATTTTTTTTGGGTCAAATTTACTCATAGCATTATTTATTATTATTATCATTATTAATATTTTTTTTTTATTTGGGAAAGCATTATCTAAAAAGAATAATGGGAAAGGGAAATAAAAAAAAAATAAAGAATTTAAAAGGTGCCATTGTGGATATTCGAGCATATCCAGATTAGGTTGATTAAATGTATCGGCATAATTGCATGTGTCTAAACTGACGTGGATCCCCGCTGTCAAGTCTACTAAAGTCCACGAGAATCAGTTTACAAGTTTGATCCATTATGTCCAATAAGAATACGCCACATCATCCCCGTGGAACCCACGTGTACCCGACATATTGTTTATCCACCCGGTTCTACGGGTAGGCCCGCTTTGGTCCCAACAAATTGATAAATAAACAGTCTTCCAATCCATTTTACCCCACCAACAAAATCCTGTTCAAATGGCCGGCCGGAATCTCGCCGGATTTGAGGCTTCCAGTTTCTCCGACATGTTTTTCGGGTTCTTGGACGACGGCGAAGGGCTGTCGGCGGCGGGATTTGGGAGCAGCTTCGAGAGCCAAGAGAGTGAAACGACGGCGTTTGATGAGAATGATGAAGAAAATGAAAACGGCGTGAGCGTAGAAGAAAGTAGGATTTTCTGGGAGACACAAATGCAGATCCTACAAGTGAGTTATTTTGTAATTTTATTTTTTAAAATTTTGATAAAATTTTGAGTTATTTTAATTGAGTTTTTAATCGTGATGCAGACAACGATATATAAGACTAATTCATTGGAATCGAAGATCAGAAATGCTACGAAAGAAGCAATTAAAGAAATACAGGAAAATGGCGGAGCTTGTGGATGTGGAAGATCGGTTCTTGCAATGTCGGGCTGCCGGAGCTGTTTGATGAGGGAGGTTTCTGATCACCTTCGAAACGCTGGCTACGATAGCGCCGTTTGCATGACCAAATGGAGAAGCTCAAAGCATATTCCATCCGGTAAGGATGGCATCAAACTAACTAAACTCAATAAAATTTAGAGGTATATACGGGTTGAGTTGGAAATTTTTTTGAACCAATTAGATTAATTGGATTAGGACTCTAAATCACTAGAATAAAACTCGGGAGGTTGGGTCAGATACTTTCTTTTAAAATTATAAAAAAAAAAAAAATTATGTTTATCCACAAAATATTAAATATTTACGAGTCATAATACATCATTAACATTAGTTACAATAGTAAAATATTCTTAATTTTTGTAATAATTTAAACTTAGAGTTGGATTGTAACTCTATTTTCATGTCGGTGGAGTTGACACAACCAAAACAAACTAACTCGTAAATTGACTTGAATTTTCAGTTTTCAAAAATTTAACTCAACTCAAACGAATTTTTTTTTAATCCAATCCAATGTTTACAGTTCGAGTTGGGTAGTTTAGATTGATAGGATTCTCGGGTTACAAGACATTTCTAACAAAATTTCACAGAAAAGAACGAATTTTTAATATTTTTTTTTTCGTTTTATGGAATTGAACAGGAGAACATGCATTTTTGGATGTGGTACACAATTCAAATAAAGGGAAAGTTAGATTCATAATAGAGCTAAACTTGAGAGCCGAGTTTGAAATGGCTCGAGCAAGCGACGACTATAACCACCTCGTACGGCAGCTGCCGGAGATATTCGTCGGAAAAGTGGAGAAACTCCATACTATAATAAAGATGCTATGCGGCGGTGCAAAAAAATGCATGAAGGAAAAAAAGATGCATTTAGGGCCATGGCGGAAACAGAGATACATGCAAGCTAAATGGCTGAGTGCATGTGAAAGGACCATGACAATGCCTCTTCTTTCTGTTGGGCATTCGTCTGGTCGGCTTTCGAAGCCGAGAGCGTCGATGCTCACCGTTGATTTGCTCGAAAAATTGCCGAATTGGACGACGGTTGAAGTTGTTTGATGTAAAAACTAATTGTAGAGTTGTTTATTTTGTGTTTGGCCATAATCTATGATATTAGAAACGTGTATATAAAAGGTAGAATCATATAGTTATGGTAATGTTCTTTTAAGCATTTTTTATTACAAGTTTTATATGTTCGTCGGTTAGATTCTTTTTTAAGTTCATCAATCAATCGGGAATCAAACTATAGTTTCTTTGTCAAAAATAAATGGAATCAAGATTTAGAATATGAATTCGAATCCTGTGCATGAGTTGTTATAAATGATAGCAGAGACGTACCTCTCTGAGTAAAATATAGTTTGAGAATGAACCAATTTGGAAGCTAATGAATATGTGATACCGGAGTAAAAATGGGGTTAATTGAATAAACCGAGACAACATTTGAATGAGAGCAATCTTGAGAATAAGATAACTATCCAAATCTTTTAATGTAAGAACTTACTGGAAAAATATCATTAAAAAACCTTAAATAAAATGAAACTGGTAAAAATTAAAACAAATTTTTTTAAAATTGTTAAAGGTTAAAAAGATATTTTTAGGTTAGTGAAAATTTATTTTTGAGATAAATTAACAGAAATGTACATTCAACGACAACCATATAACCTAGACTAACTTAATCCGAACTATAAAGGTTGGGTTCATTTTTTTGAATCCGAATTGAATCGATTTGGTTTCGGGTTCATAGTATTAGACGAACACGACTCTCCATAATGGTATGATATTGTCCACTTTGAGCATAAGCTCTGTCTCATTCCAATGGAGTTAGTATTCCTCACTTATAAACTCATGATCATTCCCTAAATGAGTCGATGTGGGACTTTCATCATCCAACACATAGAACAAAATACTTGGGTTGACTCGAGAGATCCGAACCAAATAAAAAATATATAAACTATAAAAATTTAAAATTAAACATATTTTGTTTTTACTAAAAATTTAGGGACCGTTTATTTCGTGGGGGTAAAAAGTGAGAAATGATTACATTACTTTTTTTTCTTTGTTTGGTGGGGCCGCAACAAAAGAGGACAACGACATTTTTTTCTTTTTTTTTTTAAATTGTTTTTGTAAAGAATTAAAAAGGAAAATAAATGGTTACAATGTTCCACATCAAAAAAAGGAAAAGACAAAAATGGAAAAAAAAAAAAGAAAAAGAAAAAGTAGTATTCAAAATATTAAATCATTTTTTAACATAAATAAAATATTATAATTATAGTTTCAAAATAATAATATTTATAATTAACATAGTTGTGTAAAGATATGGAACAACGTATACAAATCTTACCCAACTCGGTATTATTAAAAAAATAGAGAAATCAGAACCCAGTCAAGATGATACGGATCAACCCCGGAGATGCCAAAAATGGCCTTAAGTCGATCAAAATTTGTGAGCCCACATGGGTCGGAGATGAGAACGAAAGATTCTATATAAAGATAAGAAACATCCTTAGTAAATGCGTTTTAAAACTTTGAGATGAAGCTAGTAGTAAGCTTAGGCGGTTTCTACTATTAGAGTTGTATTGCTCCACTTGTTGCTCAACGTTGTTCTTTTCTTCGTTCTTGACAGATTTGAACAAATCAAGATCCTAAAATGGTTCTAGAAATGAAAAGTTTGGACTATAGAAGATATTTTATTTTTCATCACGCTCGAATGTTACAATAAATTTTAAATACGACAACCTAAAACCCAAAAAATTAAGAAACTGTTAATGGACAAACAAATGCAAATGATAAAAAAGATCGAGTAACATTAGCAATCGAGTTATAAACCCTTTCTTCAAGTAAATAATTACTTTTAAAACAATTATCACATTTCTAGTAATTTTCTTCCTCGTTTATCCACTTAAACTATGAATACATTTCCTTGAATATCTAATAAAAAAAATCTCGACCTCGATATCAAATTGAATAATGATTAATATTAAACAAAACTCAAACGATGAAGACATTTCCTTGTTTAAAGATTAGATATTCAAATCTATACTCGAGTTTCTTGTTTAACGGAAATAAAATGGAAATTATTGATTAAATCAAAATAAAGAACTAATTTATTGAATACCAAGAGATGAAACCTGAAAAGTCTATTTATCGTGCAAACTAAAGAAAGATTTGAACATAAGATTTTGAAGCATTCAACCAAATCAAAACGATATCATAAATCTTCAAGATCAGTCACTCGATGTTTTAGACAAAACATTAAACATTGTATTGGACATCTTTGTATTGTGAAACAAACTTCTTCACCGTCTCGCAGATCCTTTCACCTTTAGTGCTTTCGGAGGTCGTCCCTTCTCCCACCATCTAGTTTTCAAGCATCATAATACAATTGATTTATGTAATTAATTAGAGGATAATATATATAGATTCATGCAATTAATCAGACAAATTTGACGTATTATCTTACCTCAGCTATTATCTTGTGAAAAACTCGATCTTTAACGGTTGAGTGATTGATATAAACGATTTGAGTTCCATTTTCTTGAAGCAGCTGGAGGATTTGATTTAAAACAAACTGATAATCAGATCCAGTAGTCAAGAGAACCTCCAACGAAGAACCCACTTGATGAGCTTCAACTTGCACCAATAATCTTGCTTTAGTTTCACCTTCTCGTGATCCCATTAACTTCTCTCTCTTCTCTTTCAATTTCTCCACGTTCTCCTTCAATTGTTTTATGTAATTTGTGGCGTTTTCTAGCTGATCTAGTAGTGTTGTTTCAGCTTCCTACAAACAGCTCAAAATTTTCTCGGAGTTACTCAAACAAATTCTCTCATGAGAGTAGGAAACAACAAAAAAAAAAAAAGAAAAACACGAAACCGTTGAGCTTTGATTTGGGACAAGAGAATGGAGCCTTGAGAAAAGGGCCTTCATTTCTGCTCTTCTATTTCTCTCGATGAGCTTTCGGTCGATCTTTGTCGATGATGGACAATGAATGAAATTGTTCGCCATCGTTGGTAGCTCGAAAACCTTTAAAAATAAAATAAAACTTGTACTATTTAAAAGAAAAAAAATGGTGAAATCACATATATATTATTTTGGAAACGTTTTTTTTTTTTTTTTCACGTAACTTTGAGCTCATGAACCAAAAGAAATGGAGGCTGAAGTAGAGACATTGCAACACAAATATGGAAGATTTATAGATATCTATATATTAAATAATTGTAAAAGTGACGTAAAGAACACAAAGGGGAAGATAAAAGCAAATGTGGGTTTGTTGGTGCCACCACAACCACAACTTTGGGCAACTTTCTAAGCACATCAAATCAAATCACCCTTCAAGTTTGAATAAATGTTCGAGTTGTTTTGACACGAAACCAAAATTTTTGGTCTAAAAACTTTTAAAAGTTTCAATAATATATTTAAACTTTCAATTGAGTCTTAAAAACCTGGTTAAACTTTCAAATAATATTTTGTTTAAAAGTACTTTTCAACTTTTAAAAGTAATATTTGTTGGATGATGAAAGTCCCACATCGGTTAATTTAGGGAATGATCATGGGTTTATAATCTAAGAATACACTCTCCATTGGTATGAGGCCTTTTGGGAAGCCCAAAGCAAAGTCATGAGAGCTTATGCTCAAAGTGGACAATATCATACCATTGTGGAGAGTCGTGTTCGTCTAACATGGTATCAGAGCCATGCCCTAAACTTAGCCGTGTCAATAGATTGACAAATTCTTAAATGTCGAACAAAGGACTCCAAAAGGAGTCAAGCCTCCTCGAAGGTATGAAGGCAGTCAAAAATGACTAAGACTCCAAAGAAGTCGAGCCTCGATTAAGGGGAGGCATGCTTTGTTCGAGGGGAGGTGTTGGATGATGAAAGTCCCACATCGGTTAATTTAGTGTGTAGATCGAATTAGTGACAAACTCGGTAAGGGGTAGTATTTAGAGTTGTTTATGTTGTTTATTTAACCTACGAAGGAGGGGCCCCACATCGGTTAATTTAGTGTGTAGATCGAATTAGTGACAAACTCGGTAAGGGTAGTATTTAGAGTTGTTTATGTTGTTTATTTAACCTACGAAGGAGGGGCCCCACATCGGTTAATTTAGTGTGTAGATCGAATTAGTGACAAACTCGGTAAGGGTAGTATTTAGAGTTGTTTATGTTGTTTATTTAACCTACGAAGGAGGGGCCCCACATCGGTTAATTTAGTGTGTAGATCGAATTAGTGACAAACTCGGTAAGGGTAGTATTTAGAGTTGTTTATGTTGTTTATTTAACCTACGAAGGAGGGGCCCCGTGAGAAATGACTCTGAATGGGACAGAGATTCTCCGTTTAAACGGGAAATGAGAGAGGGAGTGGAGAGATATTTCTCCCCGATAGATAAATGAGGCTGGGGATAAGGATTCTATTCTCGTTCCCGTCCAGTTCTCCAACCTGCCCTACTCTAAAGAGAAACTTTTTTAAGCTTCATTTCTAAGTTTCGTATATCTCCAAAGATGAAGAAAACTTTTTTATATTTCATTCCCACCTCAAACACGTTTCATTTCATTCCTTGCCACATGTACATCTCTAGTAGTATTGAGTGTCTCTTTAATGTAATGAGTCTGATCTATTTTGTAACGGCCCAAGTCCATTGCTTGGAGATATTGTTCTCTTTGGGCTTTCCCTTTCGAGCTTCTCCTCGAGCCTTTAAAACGGTTTGCTAGGGAAATGTTTCCACACCTTTATAAAGGATATTTTGTTCTCCTCTCCAACCGAAGTAGGATATCACATATTTAGACTCTAATTCCTCACTATCGTATTATAAACCTAATATACAACATTACTAAAATGAAAGTAGGTGAAACAAGTGTCTAAGTGCTTAAATGAAACTCATTAGACTATTTGCCTAATGCCTCGAGTTATATACAATATATGTTATCTAACTAGATTTAGAGTCGTTTGCATTGTCTATCTATTTAAGCATTTTTCAAAACACTTATAGAGAGATTTTTTTAAAAAAAAAAAATTAATCCAACCCGTAAAGACGAGAAGTGCTCTACACAATAGTACGACACTGGCGTAACTCTAGGATTCAGCTACCACATAGGTTAAAAGTGGTGGGTTTTCCTAGACGACAAAGCTTTGTCTAATTTCACATGCGGGACAGGTTGCACTCTATTTGTCTCTACAACCAATAATTTCATGATTCCATAATTGGCAACGTGGGTTATTGTTATAACCCAAAAGAAGTAAAGAAAATGAAGATTATGTTGAAAAAATTGGGAGAGTGGATTACTTTCTTTCCACTTTAGCGGTTTAAAGTTGGTTGAAGAATACATTTTTTAATGGCTCTAGCTTAGCATTTCGATTGATTCCACTTGGGTCTGATACGCTCGTACCCTTTCTTACTAGAATTAGCTACTTAGACTCAAGCTTAAATTATTTTATAGGGACTTTTAAATATAATTAAATTACTATCACTGAGTTGTAGTAGCTGGGCACGTGTCATATGTTTGATATGCTCTGATATGTGATGTTATGTTATGTTACGCTACGTGATACGCCAAACAATATTATGGTATAAATGAAATGTCATGTTATGTTACGAGATGCAATGATGTGCTATGATATGATATGTTAGGTCATGATATGTTATGACATGCCATGATGAACCATGATATGTTATGTTAGGCCATGATTTGCCATGACATGCTATGATATGTTTTGAAATAAGGAAATCTATGATGCACAATCTCTCTATGTCATGACTTAGGAAGTTATGTTATGTATGAAATGATGTATAAGAATTATGGACGCATAATTACCGAGTTTAATATGTATTGAAAGAACGGAGGTTGTCTTGCATTATTTATTACGCCATGATGGAAAGTACGGGGACCTCATGCATAATTGAATTATATATATAGCATAAATAACCTAACTAGCCAAATTACTCAAACTCAAATATTTCATTATCGAGTTAGGTACAATATTCGTCGTCTAACTAGATTTAGAGTCTCTCTAGATTACATTTCAATTGAAGTGTTTTTCAAAAATGAATTATAAAGGAGGACTAATAAAACTAATAAGTTTAAATTTATATTGAAATCACTATGACCGACCATTGACACCAATGTATAGGGAGCTACTAGATGAACGACCGAAGTTGTAAGTGAGAGCGAACCATGAGAGAGATTTGGGAAGAGTAACGTAAGAATATTTTGATCATTTTGATAATGGTAAAAATTTGAGAGAGATTTTAAGTTTGAGCCTTCTTATTTCCCAAACGCAATTTTCTACGAACTACAAATGTTTTAGAACTAAGACAATTTAATTTTCCTGTTCTCTGCTAAGTGGTAACACGATGTATAGAGTCTGACACCTGCCCGGTGCTGGAAAGTCGGAAGGAGAAGTGTTATAAGCTTTGAATGGAAGCCCCAGTAAACGGCGACAGTAACTCTAACTGTCCTAAGAAAATAATGTACAAACCAATTATATCTGAAAGGTCTTTTAACCCAACTTGTAAAGACGAAGAGGACACTTCGCCCTAGTACGATACTGATAGAAATTAAAGAGCCAGCTATCATATCCAAGAAGTTAAACATTGATGGGGTATCCTAGATGCGAATCAACTCCACATGGTATGGGACAGGGGCTAATTGTAGCCATTCTTTGTTTCTACAACCAATAATGGTATGTTGCCATAATTGTCAATGCCATTTATAAGATCCATCCGTGCATGAACAATATCAAAATGAATATAATCACCATGTTCGGGTCGTGGTCTCTAAGTATCAACATGGTTCCAATCCATGTTTCTCACGATTTCAACATCTAAATCTATCTATGAACGTCACGGGATAGAAATTATTATTATTTTGATTCTAAATCGAAAATTGAATCATATATAATAGAGAAAACCAGAGAAACATGAATGAAGGAAAGTCCGAGAAGCACATAAACGAGAGAGAGAGAGAGCAAGAAATAGATTGACAACTAAAGAGACAAGAGGTGTCGTCAAGGACCCATTTGAGTGGTCCTTGATGACAATGATCCTATTTTTTTTCTTAAACAATCTTTAAAAAAAAACATATTTCAAAACGATGTAATTGACTTATATGTTCATAATAAAATCATTAAAGTAATATTGGAGAAAATAACTAACCTAAAATTTAAATAAAACAAGGAAAAAAACAATGCCTAATCTAATCTAAGAGCTACAAATAACATGAATGCATCTACACTTTTCTAACATAGCACAATTTTCAATAGCACAACGTGTCAACGTGTCAACGTGATATTCTATGTCTGGACATATCTCATAATTATAACCTATCAAGTTCTATAAAATACCTAACCCTTCTCAAATTGTATTAGTAATTGGTGCAGAAAGAAAAAGAAAAAAAAATGACCTTTCATCGCGACGCCTTAACCTTTGCAATTCATCCCGTCTTTCAGTTACCTAGGGTTCCACTGTTATGAGCAATGCTTCACGATCATTATACAAGAGGGTACAACTCCAATTACCTTTATATGAAAAATAAGAGTAGCACGTGACTTGAGTATTTTAAGAAATACTCCGTAAGTAATCTCACCGTTGGGGTTTGGAAATGCAAATACATTCCATATGGTGGGACCTATCATATTAAAAACATAACATGATCTTAGGTTGCTTTTTAGTCCGGGAAAAGTTGGATGTATAGTACTTTTCTACACACGCCTCACGCATGCGCACATGAGCCCACTAAGCGGACTCAATCGGTAATCGTTGACTGATTGATATGGACGATCTGAGTTTCATTTTCTTGAAGCAACCGGAGGATTTATCTTAAAACCAAATGATAATCAAACCCAGTAGTCAAAAGAAACTCCAACGAAGAACCCACCCGATGAGCATCAACTTGCACCAATAATCTTGCTTCAATTTCACCTCTCCTAATGTTTTTTTCTCCCAATCCCATTAGTTTCTCTCTCTTCACTTTCAATTTCTTCACGTTTTCCTTCGATTGATTTATGTAATTTGTGGTGTTTTCTAGCTGATCAGATAGTATCGTGTCACCTTCCTACAAGCAACTCAAAATTTTTTCGGAGTTATTTAAACAAATTTTCTCATCATCTAAACATGATAAAAATACAGAGTAAGAAAAAAAATGACACTGATGAGTTTTGGTTGGGGACGAGAATGGAGAGGAGAGAAAAGGGCCTTCATCTCTTCTCTTTTATTCCTCTATATGATCTTTCGGTCCGTTTTTGCCGATGATGAACAATGGATGAACTTGTCCGCCATAGTTGAAAACTTTCAAAACCCTAACAAAAACATTGTAATCTTTAAAAGAAAAAAAAAAAATTATTATTTTCCACATGTTTTTTAACTTGAGGGGCACAGGTTCACAAACCAAAAAAAAAAAAATATCGAGAATCTAGCACAAACATGACAACGAAAACATGGAAGAGTAGGGAAAAGTGAATATCAATTATCATCATTGTCCATATTCAAAATAGGGCTTTGTTGGTGCCACCACAACCGCAACTTTGGGAATAAGAACTATTCTCTCTTCATTCATAAAAGTTTTAACGAAAAAATGATTAACGATAGATATAATCGATCGAGAAAAAATTAACACTAGTGGACTATACATTCAAAATTCTTTTAGTAATGTGAAATTATTATAAAAGATGACTCGAGCCATGTTTAGCATTTTTTAAAACAAAGGTAGGAGTCTCATATGTGGATGACGGTATCAACTGCAAAAGCCATGAAATCAAGTCACGACAGTTAAATTTTCTCACGATAGGTCAACAACATTTTATTCTTAAACTTTAAGAAGGGATGATATGAACCAAGAGATATCAATTATGCAATATACTTCAATGAAGATGTGAAGAAAATGTTGTTGAAATCAACAAATTATATTTCAGTTCATGCCACATTGAAGAAGAATTAAGCTTCATTGTTATAAGTTTTGGTTAGATCATAATTTAGAGTAATTTAGTTGGTGTTTCTTTAATGTATTTTAAAGCCTATTTACATAGTGGCTAACTATGGCTATAAAATATAGTTAATTATGATAATAAAATACGAAGGTTACAACTTTTTGAAAGACTCATGAAAGGTTAAGAGTTTTCATTTTGTGACTATATAATGGCATGTATGTTATCTTTATCAGACAGACTTGAAAAATGTTGTAAAATGAGCATTTGTGCTTTCCATTCGCCAATGGCTAAATTTCTTTGCAATTGTATATAGTTTAGGTTGCATGTAGAATCATTTAAGCTCGACATGATTAATTTTACTTTGTGGAGTGATTCGAATCTCAAACAGTGTTCTTGCCTTGAAATATTTGATCAATTTTTATAATAATGAAAGCATGGGAGGATTCAACGTTAAAACGAGTAAGCCTTTTTTAATATTTCCATATCAAATATTTAACAAAAAAAATACTTATTTCAAATTAATTTTTTTAAAATTTGATTGAGCATCACTCCAATTTTATGAGAATAATGTGCAAACGCACTATTAAATCACGTATTGACACGATTGAACTCTAGGAATAAGCTACCAAATGTGTTTTTGCCAAAGCTGCACATGGCACGAAACAAGTGTGAGTTGCAGTCGGTAGGTTGTGACCCCACATATTAACAGAAAAGGTGGCGACCTTCAAGTGGCGTCCATCCGACTAGGAGAGAGTTAAGACAGACAAGTGTGATGATGCGACTGAATAGGATGATGTATCATCCAATACACCAAGAAGAGTGTGCGTTAATGTCAAACTGAGACATAAGCAAGATTGGAGACAATGAGGTGACTTGTGTTTCAAAGACAAGCTTGTAGAGGGCCAGTTAGGGCCCCGAGCCATAGTCTTAAAAATCGATTAGGACTTTGAAGATGTAAAGCTCGTTGAATACGAACTCGTGATTTAAGAAACATAAATAATGAACATCTAATGCGAATAATGAGAAAAGTTCATTTTTTATTTTAAACAAAACTCACTTCAATATCAGTCAATGTTTTAGACAAACATTAAACCGTCTATTTGCCATCTTTGTACTGTGAAACAAACTTCTTCACTGTCTCACAGATCCTTTCTCCATCAACACCTTCGGAGCTCATCCCTTCTCCCACCATCTAATTTTCAATTGTCACAAATATTATCAACTTGATTATATATATATATATTGATTGATGTAATTAATCAGACAAATTTGATGTATTATCTTACCTGAGCTACTATCTTGTGAAAAACTCGATTTATAATCGTTGAGTGATTGATATGGATGATCTGAGTTCCATTTTCTTGAAGCAGCTGAAGGATTTGATTTAAAACCAACAGATAATCAGATCCAGTAGTCAAGAGAACCTCCAACGAAGAACCCACTTGATGAGCTTCAACTTGCACCAATAATCTTGCTTTAATTTCACCTTCTCGTGATCCTATTAACTTCTCTCTCTTCTCTTTCAATTTCTCCACGTTCTCCTTCAATTGTTTTATGTAATTTGTGGCGTTTTCTATCTGAACGGGCAGTGTTGTTTCACCTTCCTACAGGTAAATCAAAATTTTCTCAAGATGAAAATATAGAGAGTAGGAAAAAAAAAAAAACGAAACCGAAACCGTTGAGATTTGGTTGGGGACAAGAGAATGGAGTGTGGAGAAAAGGGCCTTCATCTCTATGGTCTTTCTATCCGTTTTTGTCGATGTTGAATAATGGATGAAGTTGTCCGCCATAGTTAGAAACTTGAGAACCTTAAAAAGTTCTGGTTTTTTTCGAAGAATAGAGGAACATATGCAAGTGTAGGGAAAAGTGAGTATCAATTAAGAACATCCTTGTCCATATTCAAAATGTGGCTTTGTCGGTGCCACCACACCCACAACTTTGGGGATTAGAACTAAAGAAAACTACATAGAAGATACTCAACTTGCGTGACCTTTTCCATGTCATCTTCTTATACATTTCCATCAAAGTCTTCCAACGTAAAATATTTGAAGTAAAATAAAATAACACCGAAGAAAATATTAAAAATGATACCTTAGACTAATCTAAGATCTACAAAATAAAATGCAACTAATCTAACGAAGGTTTCATAGACTTTAAAGCGACACCGCCATCAACCGTATAGAGGTGTCTTGCCTTTACCAACACTATAAGAGTAAAACAAGGTTGGAGTATTTTAAGAAATATTCAATAAGTGACCCACTATTAACATTAGTAAATGCAAACACATGCAATATGAATGAGATCGGTCATTTAATATCATATTTTTTTAGGAGACCTTAAGTCTGGGCAAGTTGGATGTGTAGTACTTCTCCACACACGTACAAGCATAAGCCCACCAGGTAGGACTCGCACACCCCCTGAGCCTGTTGGTGGGACTAGCTCCTCTAGGCTGTAACTGAACACTTGGAGGTACAGTGACTGTCGTACACCATGCTAACCATGGAAATCATTTCAGTCTTACAGGGTACAGGTTTGTACTCATCATAAAAGGGAAATATCCCGACGAACGTGATAATAATGCATGAGGTTTCCATATTTTTCATTGTAAATAAGTCATGCTTGACAATCCCATTCATTTCTCACATATTTCACTTTGTAATATGCTTTCATAAATCATTTCGTTCATAACTAACTTTCAAATCATAGTTTTAGGGGTTGTGCTAAGGTAAAATTCCTCATTTCAATACATATCATAACATGCCATAACGTGTCATGACCAAACATATTCATATCATAGTATATCATGACATCTCATAATATAAGATAATTCATCGTAACATAATTTGACGTTTCATTTATATTACAATGTTATTTGGCATATCTTGATATATCATATAGAAGCACATATCAAACATATCACACATATGACATGTGCAGGGTCATTGGGCACGTGTCATCCTACATAAAGCAATTCTTCCAACCAACCAATAGTCGAGTCATTTACTTGGTTGTCCTAGACCGAAGCAACTACGACCTCTTTGATGGTAACACTTCTCACTAAAATTTAATTTAACTCAAAGAGTTCCATAATCTTAAATTAGAATTTAGTGTGAGAATCTCTCACTTAATTTTTCATAAAATAATTTAAATTTACTAACAATCATTTAAATCAACTAAGCCTAATTTTGCCTGAAATAATTTAAATTTACTCCAAATAATTTAAACTACTAAACCTAATTTGACATAAATTAATTTAAATAATTTAAACTAGCTAAACCTAATTTTAAGTAAAATAATTTAAATTTGATTCTGAAAATTTAAACTAATTAAAAGGTAGTCATATTAACGTTAAACACTTCTGAAGAGTTGAAACTAGTACCTTCTGAAGAGTTGAAACTAGTAGAAGAGAGTCCAAACATATCAGATCCAAGCCGAATCAGCTGAAATGTCAGCCTGGAGCCAGCAGGGAGTGTGTTGTCCGATTGACTTCGAACCATTCATCAAGTGGGATGAAAGGAAGTACGGGACCTCCTTTTAGAGTTTAACTCCCCACTTTCTCAACATAACCGATGTAAGGACAACTTTCACTTCCCTTTTTTTCTTTCTAATTTTGGGTTGTTATATCATATACATATAAAAGAAACTTTCGTCCTCGAAGTTGTCTTAATCTTGGAATTACTCTCGATATTTCTAGCTCATCCCTTCCTTTTGTTCTCACAGAGTTTCTTCAGCTTCATGGTTTTGTAAATAGTATTTTCCTAGTACAGAAGACCCTTCATGGTTCTGTAAATAGTATTTTCTTGGTACAAAAGACCTTCACTTCCTTATCTAAAATACTTAGTGGTCTTGTCTCATAACTTAGGTCATTGTCTATCTCTAAGGACTCGTAATCTATAATGTGAGTCAGGTCATCCAAGTATTTCCAAAGCATAGATATGTGGAATACGGTATGAACCACGAAGAGGGACGATGATAGGATTAATTTGTATGCCACTGATCCAATCTGATCTATAATGTCGAAGGGTCTTATGAAACATAGGTTCAACTTTCCCTCTTGTCCAACCCTTAAGACGTCTTTCTTTTAGAATAATTCTATTCATGTGAACATACAATCAGTGCAATCTCATTCATTCTTCACCTATTACACTCTATCACATCAACTTTCTTAAATCATTTCATTCATAGATATTACTATGACATATCATTAACTATCGGAATGTTCAATCATTATCCATAATACAATAATTATAGTCGGCTGCAACCACTGTAAAAGTGAAGGTAGGGAGAAAGGAATTGATGAAAGAAAATTTTGGTCAATTTTTTAATGATAAAGTATGGGAGGATTCAAAATTAAAACACCTTAAAAGGCTTTTCTAATACTCGATATCAAATATTTCACTAAAAATTTACTAATTTCAAATTAGTTTTTTCTTACAAAAATTGATTGAACATCACTCCAATTTTATGAGAATAATGTGGAAACGCACTATTAAATTGGATATGAAAAGTGTTTTTAACCCAACCTTTTCAGATTCTTGACCAAACCAATAAAGACAAGGTGTTTACATCCATCATGACACTGATTTAACTCTAGGAATCAGCTACCAAATGCATGTTAAAAGTGGTGGGGAATCCAAGATGTATGTGTTTTTGACAAAGTTTTGCACTCTACTTGTTATTACTAGCCATAATAGCAATAGACATTACAAGATTCATTAGCTACACAATTTCTAACGTAAGAGCTTCATGAGAACGTGAGAACCGTAGGTTGTGACCCCACATGTCGACAGATAAGGTGGCGACCCTCAAGTGGCGCCCATTGGGCTAGGTGAGGGTTGAGATAGATAAGTGTCATGATGTCACCGAAAAGGATAATGTATTTTCCAACACACCAAGAAGAGTGTGCATTAATGTCAAACTGAGACATAACTTGGAGGGAGAGGCGACACAAGTTTCAAAGACAAGCTCGAAGAGGGCCAAGTAAGACAGATGACTAAAACTTCACATAACTTTTCTCCTCAATCGTATCTTTACATTCACATTGGTGGCATATAACAAAATCATTATATTGTGGTTGAGTTAAATCTCGATTCCATATGAAATTGAGTATGTAAAACTTTTAAGAATAATTAAAAGAAAATTTAGTTAATGTTACTGATAACATTTCATTTTATCATGGTTGAAAGATTAGAGATTTGAATTTATCTGGCCCTAAAGACCTGATTTGTGTTAGGTTATGAGCCTGCTACTTATTTATATGTTGATCAACAGTTATATCCGGTAAAGCTATATTTGGTAAATCTATATCTCATAAACCTATATATGATAAATAGTAGATGGTTAAATCTGGTAAAGTTATATATAGTAAATAGCTATATATAGTAGATGGTTAAATCTAGTAAATCTATATATAGTAAATTGCACTATATATATATCCCGTCCGAAGAGCTTTGAAAATGTTCTTTCTCTGTTTTTTGTAATTTTCTCTTATTGTACATACGTGAAATCATTAATACAAAAAAATCCTTTTAGCCAGAGTTCTCCTTGAACTTTTCTCTATCCTATTCTCTCTGTTCATCTAGATCGAGCGTATGCGTTGTTGTGCGACCCTGACAACTGGTATCTGAGCTAGGCGAAATTCACCATGATCTGTGAAGATGAAAAGTTCAAAGATTGGAATTGAGAAGTTCGATGGATCCGATTTCGGTTTCTGGAAGATGCAGATTGAAGATTATCTGTACCAGAAAGATCTTTACGAACCTCTGTTGGGGTGAAGCAGGATACCATGACCACGGAACAGTGGAAGCTCAAGGATCGAAAAGCCTTAGGGATGATCCGGTTGACGCTATCTAGAAACGTGACTTTTAACATCATCAAGGAGAAGACAACGTCAGATCTGATGAAAGTGCTGTCAAATATGTACGAAAAATCGTTGGCTATGAACAAAGTGTATTTGATGCGGAGATTGTTTAACCTACAAATGTTTGAAAGTGGATCTGTTGTTGATCATATAAATGAATTCAATATGATCGTAAGTCAACTGAGTTCGGTGGAAATTAATTTCGAGGATGAAATGAAAACATTGATTTTGATGTCATCTTTACCCGAGTCGTGGGATACTGTTGCAGCAATCAGCAGTTCACGAGGATCTGGTAAATTGAAGTTTGATGAAATTCAAGATGTAGTTCTCAGCGAAAGTACTCGCAATGAGAAATTGGAAATTCATCTGGTAGTGCTCTCAGTATTGACCAACGGGGAAGAAGTAAACCGAAGGGCCCAAACAAAGGGCGATCAAAATTAAAAAACCGAGAAAATCTCCAAATAGACCAAACGTAACGTGTTGGAATTGTGGAGAAAAATGTCACTTTCGGACAGGTTATACAAGACCAAAAAGGAAGTAGAATCACAAATCTGGAGATGATGATGATTCTATAAATTCAGCAGAAGACATTGGGGATACTCTTATTCTCAGCGTGGACAGTTCGATTGAATCCTAGATTTTGGATTCAGGTGTATCTTTTCATTCGTCTCCAAATAAAGAGTTGTTTAGGAATTTCAAGTCTGAAAATTTCGAGAAGATGTATCTTACAGACAACAAAGATTTGAAGATTAAAGGAAAAGAAGATGTTTGCATAAAAACTCCAGCAGGAAATCAGTGGACATTAAAGGATGTCAGATATATTTCTAGTCTCAAAAGAAGCATGATCTCTATTGGTCAGTTGGACAGCACAGGTTATGCAACAAAGTTAGGGAAGAGTTCGTGGAAGATTATGAAGGGTGCTACGGTGGTATCACGTGGCTCAAAATCTGGAACCTTAAACACCACTGCAGGGTGTATGAACATAGCTGCTGTTGCTGAGAGTGCTTCAAATTCCTCTACGACACAATATACTCGAACATATGAGCGCGAAAGGAATGAAGAGGCTGGCTGCGAAAGAAGTTTTAGAAGGTCTGAAATCTGTTGATGTGGGTCGTTTGAGAACTACGTTATGAGCAAGCAGAAACGAGTTAGCTTCATAAGAACCGCTAGAGAATTGAAGAAAGTGAGGTTGGAAATGAAACCATATGTGGAGCAAGGTTCGATGAAGCAAGTGAGAGTTGAGCTTGAGTTGCAGGAAAACTCACTTAGTGATGTTGTAGCAGATACTCATGAAACTCCTAAGACTACTGCTGAGGAACTAGATGTGGAGCAAGGTTCCAAGACCACGAAGCAAGTGGGAGTTGAGCTTGAGTTGCAGGGAAACTCACCTAGTGATGTTGTAGCAGATACTCAAGAAACTCCTGAGACTTACTGCTGAGGAACCAGATGTGGAGCAAGGTTCCAAGACAACAAAGCAAGTGGGAGTTGAGGTTGAGTTGCGGAAAAATCACCTAGTGATCTTGTAGCAGATACTCAACAAACTCCTGAGGTTGTTGCAGAGGAACCAGCAGTAGAGCAAGTGACACCTGAACCGGTGTTGAGAAGATCATCCTGTACTATCAGAGTACCAGATATGTATGTACCTTCATTACACTATCTGTTGTTGATGAAGAACCACAACCCTTTGAGGAGGCCCTACAGTTGGAGTATACAACCAAGTGGGAGCAAGCCATGAATGATGGGACGCCTAGGCTTCAAAAATGCGTTGTACTGAGACTGAGTACGTGGCAATAGCTGAAGCTGGAAAGAAGACGATATGAATGACTGACTATCTGGAAGAATGAGCAAGAAGTAGCACAAAGATATTCTTTATAGAGATAGTCAGAGTGTCATACAGTTGGCGAAGGAACTCGGTCTATCATTTAAAGAGAAAACACAGAAGACGATATTTCACTTGCAGGTTAGTGAAAGATGGTGATGTGTTTGGAGAAGATAGAGGGGCAAAGAATCCATCAAACATGTTAACAAAATGTGTTGATGTTGGAATATTGAGGTTGTACAAAGCCTCAATTGATATGGTGCCATGGAGATGCTCATGGTCGTTTGAGAATGAAATTATTGGTTGACTAGATCAGTCTCCAAGCTGGAGAATTGTTAGGTTATGAAGCAGCTATATATAGTAGATGGTTAAATCTGGTAAAGCTATATATAGTAAATTGAATCATATATATATATATCCCTTCCAGTAGAGATTTGAAAATGTAATTTTTGTATTCTGTGTAATTCTTTCTTACCATACATACGTGAAGTCATCAATAAAAAAAAATCCTTTTAGCCAAAGTTCTCCTTGCACTTTTCTCTATCATGTTCTTTGTGTCATCTAGATCAAGCGTGTGCATTGTTATGCGACCCTAACAATTTGTTGAATAGAGAAAACACAGAGTTGAAAACTAAAGCATCACATTACCATACAAACTAAAGAAAGTTTTGAATACTAAGATTTTAAAGCATTGAATCAAAGGAGACCGACGTCATAAATCTTCAAGATCAATCAAGATCAACGGTGTATTGGTCATCTTTGTAATGTGAAACAAACTTCTTTACTCTCTCACAAATCCTTTCACCTTTAGCGCCTTCCAAGGTCGTCCCTTCTCCCGCCATCTAGTTTTCAATCATCAGAAATATTATCAATTTTTTACTCGTAATTAATTAGAGCACAATATATAGATTCTATGTTATTAATCACAAATTTGATTTATTATCTTACTTGAGCAATTATCTTGTGAAAAGCTCGATTTGCGACCGTTGACTGGTTGATATCGACGATCTCAGTTCCATTTTCTTGAAGGAGTTGAATGATTTGTCTTAAAACCAAGTGATAATCAGACCCAGTAGTCAAAAGAATTTCCAACGAAGAACCCACTAGATGAGCTTCAACTTGCACAATTACTCTTGCTTTATTTTCACTTGTGATGGTACTTTTTTCTCCCAATCCCATTAGTTTCTCTCGCTTCTCTTTCAATTTCTCCACGTTTTCCTTCAATTGTTTTATGTAATTTGTAGCGTTTTCTAGTTGATCCGGCAGGGTTGTTTCACCTTCCTACAAACAACTCAAAATTTTCTCGAAGTCAATTAAACAATTTTTCTCATCATTCAAACACAATAAAAGTATAGAGAGAAAAAAAAAATGAAAAGAAACCGTCGAGTTTTGGTTGGGGACAAGAGAATGAAGCTGGGATAAAAGGGCTTTCATCTCATCCCTTCTATTCCTCTCTATGATCTCTTGGTCGGTTTTTGCCGATGATGGACAATAGATGAAGTTGTCTGCCATTGTTGGAAACTTGGAAACCTTAAAAACTTATGGTTTTATGTCTTCGTTAGCTTAATGAAAATCAACATATAAAATTGTAATATTTAAAAAGAAAAAAATGGTTAAATCATATGAATTATTTTCCACGTGAACTTGAAGCACATAGCTTCACAAACAAACAACAAAAAGTATTGAGAATCTAGCACAAACATGATAAGGAAATTATGCAAGTGTAGGGAAAAGTGAGTATCAATTAAGAACATCCTTGTCCATTCTCGAAATGTGACTTTGTTGTTGCCATCGCAACCACATCTTTCCACGGGAAAAAGTAAAATCTCATCTTAATTGAAAATAGGAACAAAACATTCTTTATAATGGTGTAGAAACCTCTCCCTAGCACATGTATTGTAAAACCGTGAGGCTGACGGCGATATGTACAGGCCAAAAGGACAATATTTGTTAGCCGTGGAATTAGACTATTACAAATGATATTAGATCAGACACTGGGCTATGTGCTAGTGAGGATGTTGGATCCTCGAGGGGGTGGATGTGAGATCTCATATCGTTGGAGAGGGAAATGAAACATTTCTTATAACGGTGTGGAAATCTCTCTCTAGCATACGCGTTGTAAAACTATGAGGCTGACGGTGATACTTAACATGCCAAAACAAACAATATTTATTAACAGTGGGGTTGAGATGTTACAAATGGTATCCGAGCCTGATACTGAGTTATGTGCCAGTGAGGACGTTGGGCATTCGAGGGGTGGGTTGTGAGATCTCATATCGGCTGGAGAGGAAAATGAAACATTCCTTATAATAGTGTGGAAACCTCTCCCTAGCAGGCGTATTGTAAAATCATGAGATTGATGATGATACTTAACCGGCCAAAACAAATAATATCTACTAGTAGTGGATTTTGGCTGTTACACTCGACCACCTAAATGAAAATTGATAAACAATTAATGCACTGAGACGTGGATTTTAAGCGATGAACAATTATTAAGCTATCAATTTGAATTCATATGCCAATTAAACCCTACGGTGGTGCTGACACCGACAATGGGAGTGGTTGCTGCCATGGAAGAAGTAAAGATGAGAAGGGCTCTACACCACAGTACGACACGACACTCAGAAACCTATAGAAGTCAGTGAGCATGTACAAGAAGTTTAAAGTGTAGGGGTATCCAATCCACGTGATATGGGGCAAGGGAGGGAGAAGCATATAAATATCAAACCAAATACAATTATTGGGTGGAAGAGAGTGAAACCTCGTAAAAAGACCACGTACGTATGAATAATAAAGGTCTAACGTTAGTAGAAATTGTCTGTTTTTGCTCGTTATGTAAAGATGTCAGTCTTAACGTTTTAATACACATTTGTTAATGAGAGTTTTCTAACTCCCTTGTAAGCAATGCTTCATTCCCCTCTCTAATCAACGTGAGATCTCACAATCCTCCCCCTTGGAAGCCAGCTTATCGCTCAGTGTCTGGCTTGCTAATATGGTATCAGAGTCATGTCCTAAACTTAGTCATGTCAATAGAATCCTCAAATGTGGAACAAAAAATTGTGAGCCTCAAAGGTGTAGTCAAAAGTGATGTCAAATAAATGGTATATTTTGTTCGAAGGCTCCAAAGAAGGAGTCAAACCTCGATTAATGGGAAGTTGTTGGAGAGTTCTATAAAGACGAGAAGGGCACTACACTACTGATAGAACTCTATGAGTTGGCTACCAAATGCAAGAAGCTCATAGTGGTGGGATATTCTACACGCGAGTGTGTTTGTCGAGGCTTTGTTCAACCCACTTCACATGGTATGGGGTAGGTGCGAGTTGAAGACACTCTACTTGTTTTAACTAATCATAATAATAATAATAATAATAATTTTCTAGATTAAGTACTTATAAGAATTATATTTACTTGTTTTATACCCGTTCTAAATGTAATTGAAAATTTTCGTTTAAGCTAGAAATGAAAAAATGAGTGGAGAGAGAGTTTTCTCTCTTAGCTAAGTAGAGATCGAGACAGAGATTCCGTTCTCGACCTTTGCCTTGTTCTGAGATCGCCATGCTTCACTTTTGTTTATAAATATAAATATATGTATATGTAATAATAAGAATTAGGTTTGTTTCTTAGTTTATATATATATATATATTTATTTATTTGTAGAGATAATTTTCACTCTTAGAAGGAAAGGAGTAAGTAGCGTGGCCATGTCGCAGATGATAAAGGAAAATTTCAGAGTCATGTGTTGAATCTAGATTATGCAAACATTGTCTAAGGTCCGGCAAAGCTACAAAATTGGGCAAAAAATATATATGGGGCTTAGGTTCCCTTTAAGACTTGTCATGAGCTTGTCAAGAACAAGACATTGCACGGTTAAAAATGTACAATCGTGACAATAAGCCACATTTTATGTGTCTAGTCGAACAAGAATGGTAGGAAAAAGGTTAAATGAAGAATGGGCAAGTATGTCAAGAGTATCAGTTTCGACAGGGTAGTTGTGTTGTCAAGATCAAATAATATTGAGCGTTGAAGCCAAGACTCCCCCAAGTTCAAGAGTGTCCGTGTGTGATACATCAATGAGGGAGTTATAGCCGTCGTGAAGCAAGAACCAACCTCATTTACCTAGGACTTGGGTTTTTTAAGTGGACAACAGTGAATTAGAAGACACACCAGATCGAGTATCTTCCAAAGAACCGTTCACATTAGAAGAAGAGTATCAATAGTTGCCCGCAAAGAAGTAGGGAGTCAAGTGAGACATGGTTGGCCAAATGCTTGATTGAGTATAATACAAGTCCTTTTGGGGCGACATTGTCGCGATGAGGCAGCTATGTAAAATGGAGGAGAGCCTGAGAGAATGGGTTACTCATCCCATAGGAGTTTTCCAAGGAACGAGCACATTTGTATTTCGTAAGCCACAACCTTGTGTCTTTCTTCTATTCCTCTCTATGAGCTTTCGGTTTGTTCTTGTCGATGACGAATAATCGATGTAGTCGTTCACCATTGTTGGAATAGAGTTCATTAATCCAATTCAATGATAGTTGTTAGAAACAACCGACCTGTACAATAGAATCATATTATTCACTTAGAACATTAGTTCTCGTGATTTTGTTTTTTGTTTTTTCGAGAGGCATCGTACCAATGGAGATCATGTTTCTTACTTATAAACCTATGATCTTTCTTTTATCAGCCAACTTGGGGTTGCTTTTTTCAATATTCCTCAACAATTCTTCCCTCATTGAGGCCTCCTTTAGAACCCTCAAACACCACAATATATATCTTTATTCCAAAAATTAATAAAACATTTTCCTAAAATATATAGACAATAGGTTCATACAATTACTAGTTTTGACCCTATTGGGTAAGTGATAATAATTTAACACTATCTCTCAGCACTAGCCTCATACGTCGTACCATATTGAGCTGACAGAGAAAGCCCTCTTATTTGCTAGGATTCAGCTCTTTTGTAAACAAGTCTGCGAGTTGAGTCTGCCAGTTGGTCATCAGTCTTCTTCCTTTAGGATTTTCTCTTTAATAAAATAGTAGTACATCTCCACATGCTTTGTTCTAGTAGGAATATCTAATTTTCTACTAGGCAAACTGCTGATTAGTTGTCTCAGTGAAGCTTTATTAGATAGTCAACTTTCTGGTGCAAAACCTCAATTAAGAGTTTCATCCATCTTGAGTTGTTCTAGCCATTGCAATGAAGTGGTGTCGGAGTCAACTTTTCTAATGCAAATCCTCAATTAAGCGTTTCAACCATGTATTTTTTTTTAGTTGCTCTAGTCGTTGCACTGTACTATGCTTCTATAGTTGACAATAATAAAATTGGTTGCGTTTTGTTGCAACAAGAAATAGTTAAAACACATACTCAATGGTTGACCTTCAGATATCATGGTCTCCATCATAATAAGCATCATAGTATTCAACTAGCTTGTAATATTTGCTTCTTTTATACCAAAGATCGTAATCGATCATAACTTGACATATCTCAAGATCCATCGAGAGGCATCCAACTGAGCTTATTTGGACTCTGCATGTACTATCTTGTGATACCAATTGTATTCTTAAAGCCCTTTAGTTTGTGTATATGTAAATTTCTAGTCCAACTCTTCGGACAAGAAAGCATTCTTCACATTCATCTGCCATAATTTCTAGTTTTTGCTTGTTGCAGGCACTATTTGGACCCGTACGGTAGTGATTTTCGCCACTAGACTAAGGGTTTTATCATAGCATATCATATTGTTGAGAAAACCCTCGAGCAACCAGTCAAGTCTTGTATCTCTCGCTTGATTCATTTGGGCGAATCCTCGAGCAACTAATCGGTCAAGTCTTGTATCTCTCGATTGATCCATTAGGGCAATGCTTTATTTATATAACCACTTGCAAGATATGACTAACCAATCAAGCCTTGTATCTATAGTTCCTAGATTTGATTTTGCTCCAAATGCTATAATTTCTTTCTCCATCTTCTGACAAGCCGAACATTGTGGTGCTTCTTCATACATCCCTCCAGGAGCATCTACTTGACCAAATGTGTATAGTTTGGATGATGATCCCCTTCCTATCGAACATACTAAGAATTTCAAGAAATCAAACAACCTACACCAACCTTACTCTAATACTAGATTAAGATCATCTACTTATCTATTATGAGTATAAGCATTCATGGTTTTGCTTTTAATTTTTCCAAAATGTCTCACGTCAATGGAAATGGTGTTTCTTACTTATAAACCCATGAACTTCCTCTTAATTAGTCCATGGAAGACTACGCCTCCTAGTAATTCTCAACAATAATTAGCAATATGATACATCTAGGCATTAAGGGAGTGAATGAGGGACCGAACTTGGAGATGGAGCAACGACAAAGCCATACGACTTAGAGGTGTAGACCGACAATGAAGCCTCCTAAATTGGAGATTGAGCAATGACAAAGCCTCGGGACGATGAAGATAGAGAAACAACAAAATCTCTAGGAAATGGGCCCCGATGAAACTCCCAACTTAGAGATGGAGCAACAATGAAGCCCCCAAACTTAGGATTGAGGGACAAAGAAAATGAGACCACAAGACTTAGAGGAAGCAAAATGTCAGAGTAAACTAATCAAATAAATTACAAAGGAAATGGGAAGAGCACTAAATGGATACAAATATTTGTCTATACTAAAATGTCAAATATGATACCTATATAAAATAAACTGGAATGAAAGGTTAAATATCATATAAAATACTGTCTATAATAAATGGTCAAATATGATATATTTGCAAATATGATACCTATATAAAATAAACTAGAAGGGAAGGTTAAGTATCATATAAAATACTATCTATTGTCTATAATAAATGGCAAATATGATATATTTGTTAAACCGTAATAAAGGCTTAAATAAGATACCTATGGTAAACGCTAAATATTTTGCTTGTAAACCAAATTCCTGTGTAAACCTGAGAAGCTAAATATCATCAACCATCTAATGAAGTATGGACTAAATACCTTGGTTTTCTTCTTCCTCCATGAGTACTTCCTTTCAAACAATAAACTTAATTATCAAATATTTTATGTTTAAACGAAACAAATTTGTAAATTACAAGTCTCACGGAGATAATTTGACCAACTTACTTCGGTTTTGGTCCATTAGTGCAATTATCTTTTTTTAAAACTCGAACACTTAGAACCCGTTTGGAATGACTAAAGTTCCTAACCAGTTTGGAATAGACATTTTTTCAATCTTTTCAAACACAAAATATATAGCTTTGCTGACAATATGTCACAGGTGAAGCCGAACTAATAATGGCCATATCAAAATCAAATGGATTAACAGATAAGGACAGAATTCCAAGCATTCAAGCCTTTGATAGTCTTCAATTCAGTCACGAAAATGCTAGAAACAAGAACAAATGAAGAACCAAAAAATCTGCAAAAGTTCTCTTTTAATCTTACATTGAACCTAAAAGGAAAAAATGGGCAGAGAAAGAATCATATGAATTTAGATTTGGAGGATAGAGAAGTGTGGGAATGATGAGTACCAAGCTTTTGTATCCAATGCTTTAAACCTTTCTTGTGAACTTCCCAACTTGGCTTCTGCTCTACATTCACCAATGTCCCATCTCCCCCAACTGAACTCTCGAGTTGCTCTAGCACTTTCACCACCTCCCAAAACTCCGGCCGGTTTGCTGGTTGCACCAACAAACATTGCTCTATCAATCCCCGCATCACCGGAGGACACTCGCTCGGGACGACTGGTCGGATATTCTGAAAGAAATGACAGCAACAGTGTTTCAGTTGTGAAGAAATAAGATGGTACAAAACAACTATTACCTTGTTAACAACTGCATAAGCTGCTTGGATTGGAGTCATATTCTCATAAGGGATTCTTCCTGCCACCAATTCCCACAGGATAAGTCCAAAGCTGTAGAGATCGACCTTCCGTCCGTAATGTTTACGTTTGATCATCTCGGGGGCCATCCAACGGTAAGTTCCGAGGTCGTCGGCCAGTGTATCACAATGTGCTTCCTCACAAGCAATGCCGAAATCAGCAATCTTAAGACAAAAGTCTTGATCGATAAGAACGTTTTCGGGTTTGAGATCTCGATGAATGATGCGTTGCGAATGAATGTATTCCATTCCACGAGCAATGTCCAATGCAATGGCAATCAGTTTTTGAAGTGGTAGAGATTTGTTTTCAAGTTTGTGTAGATATGCCCTTAACGAACCTTGAGATAGATACTCTGTTATGATCCAATAACCAGGCTTTCTGCAAGCTGCTACCAACTGCAAAACAATGTGAATACAATACTTTTAATCCATAACTGATTACACAGATTCTTTCCTTTTCGAGCAGAAATAGGGAACTCATATCGAACATTAAAGACAACCTAAGAACTGTAATTCAGATGAAATTGTCATGAACCAGTAGCAAGTAGTTTACCTTAATAACATTGGGATGATGAAGACGAGATAAAAGGATTACTTCCCGACCAAACTGCTTCGTTATGCGACCTGCAAGATCGCCATTTTCGTCGTGTTTTGGTAGATTGATGACCTTAATAGCAACAACTTGGTCGAAGTAAAGTCCGTGGTAAAGGCAACTATGAGCTCCATAAGCAAATTTAAATCCAAAATACAACTTAGACAAGTCAACAGAGAATTCATCTACAGCATCAACAGCAGTGACCTTCCCTCTTTTGTGTTCAAACAATTTTGTCCAAGAACCCTCCTTCATGAACGTGGATCTCTCATTGCCTTTACATGATGCAAGATGCCTTACAGGGCTTCTTAACTTCTCTTCCTTTGAGAAATTATGCACCTTAGCTTCTTTATTGAATACCCTTTTACCCTTCTCTTTTCTCGGCTCTTGTCTACGAGGTTGAGGAGTTGAAAATCGCTTCGAATCATTACGTGCATCCTTAAATGTGCCTAAGAGTGTAGTTTGTGAAGGTGGAGATAGAGACCTCTGCTTGTTAAGGGTAGATTTATGATGATAAGGAGCTGTGATAGGAAAGGAAGACAATCGTAAGGACTCTAAACGGTAGCAAATTGTGTGGGAAAATTTGGTTCTTCTTAACCAAGAATTAGGATCATCCTCCATGGTTGCCCAAAGACTGAAAACTTAAGAAACTATTTGCTTTTCTTCTTCTTGTTCTTCTTCTCCAGCTGAGAAGAAGGCTTGAATTGATCAAAAGGGAAGTTTAGTAACAAACTAGTTTGAGGCATACAGCTCTCCAGTACCCGAATTCAACAAATCCCATGAATAATTAAGAAAACAGGAAGCGAAACAGCCACAGAAACAGAATTTCTTCGTGTTTTTAGCAGCAGAACATTGAGATGGCTAATCAAAGCCATGAAGATCAATCAAGAAAAAGATCGTTTCAACCAATAATCTCATATCCATCAGTACCAAAATCCCTTGAAACCCAATATATCCCATCAAACACCAAGAGAAAGTCCAAATCTAGGAGCTCCCAAATCGCAGTTTCCCCCCCCTCTAACCCTCCTCCTTATCTAAAATTCAACAAATTTGACCTGTTCTTCTAAACACTAAACTTTTACCATCAAAAAGTCAAACGTTCTTAGTCTCCTCCGTCTACAAAATCCAACAGCAGAATTTCAATAAACAAACAAAGAAACGTAATAAAAAAAAATAAAATAAAAATAAAAAGAAGTCGCCGCTCAATCGCATTCATACTACAGATAAACCTAGTATCACATTAATCGTTGATTCACAGAAACAAGAAGAATCAATGGAAGCTGACCAGGAGATGAGCATAAGGATGGATCCTCCGAGCAGCATTGGAGCCATATTTTAAGGAAAAACAGCACAGAATCGCCGGGAAATCGGTGATTTCAGCATCGTCTGTTTGGTTTCCCTCTCCGCTTGGGGATTACAGATATTAATTCGATATGGGAAAGAAACGAAGAAATAGAGAGAAAGAAGGAAGTGTGGGACGCACGCAGACGAGGAGGTTGATTCTCCGGTCATCCCGTGGAGCCTACGATCTTATTAGAAAGGGGAGCTATATTGGGAGGTGGGTCCCAGTGCGGCGCGGCAAAATGGGAGTGGGGCCCAAGGGCTAGCAAAAGTGAAGGAGAAATTCCACGTGTCATAATTAGAGGGAATTATAAAATATCAAATCCAGCGTGGCACGTTGGTGATTGGTGGGGTCGACCCCTACCATCTCGCCTACTCAATCAACGCTGCCAACAAGTGGGACCCAACTTGGTTTTTTATTTTTTTTATTAATGACACTATTATTTATTTAACCAAATTTAATTTAAAAAAATTAAATTAGGGATTACAACCAAAGAGATGTCTATTTAACTGAAATATCCGAATTTAAATGAAAAAAAAAAAAAAAAGCTGACGGGATCAGAGATTAAAACTGAAAAAATAGTTTCATCTTTTAATTATAATAAACATATATTTTTATTTACGTAAATAATTTTCAAAAAAATCATGTCAGGTCAATATGCTTTTGTGGGCCACTGATGGGCTTGTTCACTTGCTTGTGGTTGGGTTAACTAGAGAAGCTTTCTTCTTGGGCTGCAGTTGATGCTAAAGGATGGGCCTTTTGTTTGACTTGGACATTGGGTGAAAGGCTAAAGGTGAATGTGAATGCTCGAGACCAGACACATGCATAGGATAGTTGCATTTATTTTTTTAGACTTAAGTTAGAATAGGATGTATTTAATTTAAATATTTATTCACTTCATTTAGTATTTGATTGTGTTGTTTTCAAACATGCAAGTCCATGACAATATTTTAACATGAAGTTTATGTTTTATAAAAAAATTAAAATATTTATTTTCGTATAGAAATGATAATCTAGGATGACAATAACGACACTAGATGAGTAAAAATCTAGAGTCGTTACAAATGAATCAGAATTAAGTGTATTATTAAATATAAGAATATTTTTTAATATTAAAAATATTTATATAAATTTTTTGAAGTTGGAGTGCATATTATTTAAACTTTTGTGGAAGGATAATTAGAGGGATGAGACGGTGGACTGAAATCCGGGCACTCAAAATAATAATCCTCTACACGTGTCACATTCTTACAACAGTGGTCCTTCTCCATTTTGTTATTACTTTGAACTTCAATTTTCAAACATTGAAAAATGCAAGAGAATTTGATTCATTTTACTTTCTTTCTTTATTTATTTATTTATTTATTTTTTGAAAATTTTGATATTAAAAAAAAAACTCAATTTTTCCACCTAAAAAATAAATAAATAACTTACCTCGGAAAAGTTAGAATTAAATTAATATTATTATTATTTGTATCGATAAAAAAAATTATATTTCGATGATGGACTATAAAAACTCTAAATTTAAACATGTTTGATTTATAGTAATATTGTGTTTTGTAAATTCAAATTTTTTTTTAAAAAAACGTGTATATAATTTTCTAAAATTATTAGAAGTTACGTCATTATTTATTTTTTTTTTCTTTATTGTCTGCCATGACTTTGGGTATAAAATACTCAAATATATATATAATTAATTAATGGTAATTTTGGAGATAATTAAGGGGTATTAATAAATGACCTTTGGACTTGGTGATATTACGGAATCTGCCATGAGACTGGAGAGAAGTCAAAGTCGGGAAAACTCTGCATAGCTGTCTTTCTATTGTTAACCCAGCCAATTGAATTCTGGATACCACTCCCACTCTCATCTCACGCGAGTGTTCTTCACATGCGGCCTTTTTCTTTTTATTTATTTAAAATAAATTAATAAAAATACTAAATTTAAACAAAAAATAAAAAATAAAAAATATTTATATTTAATGGTTAATAAATTGTTTTTAAAAAATTATCTTTTAGTTTTAAAGTGTCTCAAGGTGACTTTTTTTTATTTTTTTAAATCGTTCAAAAATAGTTTTAAAAATTTCATTAATACAATTAATTTTTTTCAAAGTTGCACATTTTAAAAATATTATATACTTTTAAAATTAATATTAATCCCTTGACCTTTAAAAAAAATTAAATTTTTTTAAATGATTTAGGAGACGTGAATAGGTATCATAATAGTTTTTTTGAATTGGTTTATTTATATATATATATGGAAGTTATAGGTGTTACTAAACTTTTTTTTAAAAAAAATTGAAAAATACTTATAAAATTTAATAAAATTCAAAAATACCTTTTTAAACAAAATACTAATAATTTTTATTCAAAACTAACTCAAAATTGGTATATAATATTGAATTTAACTTAAAAAAAAAAAAAAAAAAAACTTGAGAAGGTCGAGGGTAAGAAATATGAATTCGAGAGTTATGTTCCAGGTACCTACACTTAGAAACGTAACCAATTATTTGCCCTAAATTGATAGATCCAAGCTAACTCTATAGCTCAATAGAAGATCTAGTGGGAGGAGTGGCCCCATGGTTACAATTCAAATAAAATCTATTATAAAGACACTAAACCACAACATCCCGATTACAAGTTACTTATAATCGAGGACCGACTCTATTTCTTTTGTGGAGTCTTAGTCATTTTTTACTATGACTTCGAGACTTACAATACTTTTATTCAATATTTGAGGATTCTATTAGCATGACTAAGTTTAAGGGCATGGCTCTAATACCATGTTAGGAATCACGGATCTCACGGATCTTCTTTGATTTGGGTTTTCCCAGAAAGCCTCGTACTAATGAAGATAGTATTCTTTGATTATAAACCTCCGATCATTCCCTATATTAGTAGACATGTAATTTTCAGTATTATGTTTAAAAAGTATTCTTAATATTTTAAACATAGCATTAACACCCTCGACTTTTGTAAAAAAAATGTTCATAAAAGTTTTTACTATCAATAATATGAACGAAGAATCCGTCTATCCATACTTCATAAATTATCTCTCTTTTTAATGTTACTGTTGAAAGTTGATTAATAATTTTAAGATGGGTATAATATTTTTAAAGGATATGGTTCTAAACAAAGATTAGATATGATTAAGAAAAAAAAAAGAGAGAGATTTAAGGGGGGAAAGAAAAAAAAGTGGATGCTTTGCTTAATGGTTGGTTAATTAGGGAAAGGGAGCGTGTTGGGCAGGTGCGATGTTCATGATGAATCTTCAAAAAATTTCAAACTGTACAGTAAAAGAAAAATGACAAATGACCAACAAAATCCATCCAACACTCCCTCAACCCCACGCCTCTGATTCTCACACCTTCCCTGTTCTCTCTCTCTCTTCGCGTCTCTGCAACCTCTCCACTGATCACAACCCCATCAATGGAAACCTCTTCAATTCACCAACAAAACCCATCTCCGCCGCTTCCAAAACCCATCACTCGATCCGAATCTGTAAACCCATATCCCACTACCTTCGTCCAAGCCGATTCCTCCTCTTTCAAACAAGTAGTTCAAATGCTCACCGGATCTCCTCAAACTGCTAAGCAAGCTTCTGTTAAGCCGGTTTCCGGTGGTTCCAACGCTGATTCTGTGTCTAAAACGCACATTCCGCCTATTAAATCGTTGCCCAAAAGGCAGCAATCTGGGTTTAAGCTCTATGAGCGGAGGAACTCCTTGAATAAACTTAAAATTAACCCGTCGATTCCGGGGTTTGGTTCGAGTTGTAACTCTGGGTTTTCTCCGAGAAACCCTGAGATTCTTTCTCCTAGCATTTTGGATTTTCCGGCGCTTGCTCTTAGTCCGGTCACGCCGCTTATTCCTGACCCGTTTGATCGATCTGGGTTGGCGAATGCGAAATCGGAAGCTGAGGCGGAAGATAAAGCGATTAAAGAAAAGGGGTTTTACTTACATCCATCACCGACCACTACTCCTCGAGAATCTGAGCCTCGGCTGTTGCCTCTGTTCCCATTGACATCGCCTAGAGTTCCAGGTTCTTCTTCCACTTCTTGAATTCCTCTTTTATTTTTCCATTTTTTTTTTTTTGGATTTTGATTTCATATGTTGCTGCTGAGTGATAATGTTTGTAATGATGTATTTCCCGAGAATGATAGATGATTACTGCGTCAATTGTAAAATTTGGTGTTCTTAATCTGTTCTTCTCATGAAAAAAGAATAAGAACTAGCCTCATTTTCTCCCTTGTTTGTTCCAAGAGCTGAAGATTAATGATTGTTCTATGGATTTTTCTTCAAACCCATTACAGTTTACATACAATTTCAGTTTCTATAATTGGAGGGATCTTGATTTAGTGCAAATCCTGATAAATCTTTGTTCGTAAATTTGATCTGTCTATCATTATTACTTCTCAGCTCATCTTGTAGTCAACACTCACCACTCAATAAATGTACTATAAATGCGAAGACTAATTCGGTTTTGGGTCATTTTTAAGGCAATTAGTGTTAGTAGAGGTGAATAAAGAAAAAGGAAGGTCTTGTGCGTGTGGAATCTTGACATTTTGTTACCTTTTGTGTTGTATCTGGTAAGCTTTTGTCGTTTCTAGCTTTCTTTCTTCCTCCTCTTTCACTTTTCCTTTCCCCTCCTTTCAAGGCCTGAAGTAACTTGTGATCATTTGGCATGATAGGATAAAAAATTCACCCTCGAATGTCGGGAGAGAGTTCTACGTCGGCTAATTAAGGAGATGATCATGAGTTTATAAGTAAGGGATATATCTCCATTGGTACAAGGCCTTTTGGAGTAACCAAAAGCAAAGTCACAAGAGCTCAAGTGGATAATATCATATCATTAGTACCAATTGGAGATGTATTCCTATTTATAAACCTATGATCATCTCCTTAATTAGCCAATGTGGGACTCTCTCTCAATAATCCTCAACAGGTTCGTGATTCCTAACAGTGACCCCATTTGAATCCGGTGAAGTTTATTAGTTGGGCAATACAAATCTTATCGTCATAGTGTTGTTGGGGCAGCTGACAATGAAGGAACCCATCCCATGGGTCAACCCAAGTCTGATGAGTTATTCTCAAGAACAGGTCATTACAACTGTTTATAAATGAGGAGTTTCCCTGTCAGATAAGGTAGTCAAATGGGGACATTGGACTTCGATGCATAGCTTTGAATTTGAACTTGGGTCCGGTGGATCATTAAATGGGTAGACTTGGTTGGGGCCCTTGAAGGCGAAGGGGCTTGTGGGTGTGCTAAAGTGAAGCGATCATGGGGAAAGGCAGTGGTGCTTTTAATATCCTTTCTGGAGTCTTAACACTTACGCTGGCCTACTGGGCTTGACTCTGAACAGTCCTCTCAAAGTAAATGGGGACACGGGAAAGTGAAGGAAGGAAGGAAGGAAGGAGGGAGGCAAGACAGAAAACATGGTTGTCTTTGTCAGTGCTGTTGGTTTGTTTGTTTCTTTGACTCGTTTAGTAGTAGTAGTGGTGTTTCTTGTTGGTCTGCTTTGCTTTTGTAGACTTTTTTGACACTCCCATGGTGTGTGGGTGTCTGTCATTCATTGCAATCTTGAATCGCTATCAGAGTAACCGCCTAGTAGATATTATACTCTTTGAGTTTTCTCCTTCGAGCTTCTACTCAAGATTTTAAAACTATGAGGCTGACAACGATACGTAATGAGCCAAAGTAAACAATATATGTTAGCGGTGAGTTTGAGCGGTTACAAATGATATCAGAGTCAGTTATTAGATGGTGTAAGACACTAGTTGGATTAGGGCTAGACTCTCTCTATTATATACTTGTCTTAAACCGGTGGGACTAACAATGGTACGTAACGGGCTAAAACGAATAATATTTGCTCACGGTGATCTTTTGTTGTTACAAATGGTATCAAAGTCAATCACTGGACAGTGCGAGGCATTGGTTGTAGTAGGGCTAGACCCTCTCCATAGTAGATGACTCTTAAAACTGTGAAACTGACAACGACAGGATAAGGCAGACAATATGTGCTAGTGGTGGGTTTGAACTGTTACAAATAGTATGAAAACCAGTCATTGAACAGTGTGAGACACTGATTGGAGTAGGGCTAACCCTCTCCATTATAGACGCGTCTTAAAACCGTGAGATTGACAATGATATGTAACATGCCAAAGCGGACAATTTTGTTAACGGTGGACTTGAACTCCTACACTTGCCCTTGTGAGGAGGGATATACATTTCTACTTAAAACATCTCTCCGAAACATTTTGTATTTAGATTTAATTGAAAGGTCTTATACTAATGGAGATGTTAATATCGTTCTTGGTCGAAAATGGGCTAATGTAAACGCAATCGATGATGTAAACACATTCTCTTCTACTCTTAAAGTCAACAACGTCATGATTCTTTCTTTCTCTCTCTTGTTTTTGTTTTTTCTTTGATCTTTATTCCCCATTTTGTGGACGTGCTCAATGATTCAAAAAATCTGATCATCTCAATCTAATTAGTAGGGTCGAGCTAAATTATGAACCTGTTTTAGTTGAGTTGGATTCAAATGAATGAAAAAATTTATAGATTTGATTAGTTCATGAACTCTCTTGAAACTAACAGAACCCAAATTTATTTTTAATTTTAAAATATATACGCTTTATTTACCATATAATTATATATACATATATTTATCTTATTTTATTTAATTTTATAATTATTATTTTTGTTATTTTAAAAAAATTATTTACCATGGGTCTAAAAATGTCTCGATCCAATCCATGAATACTCCTAACAACGTGTTCATAGAATCGAGATTGAAGAGTTATGTTGAAATTATTTTCTTAATTGACATTGAAAATTCTTGTCTCCATTCGTATGTAGAGATATTTTTCGTTCGATATTTGCAGTCCATCTTTTCATCGTAACGTTTACAACGACATTTTTTTTAATAAAAAATATATCATTTTCCTACTAATTGGATTGATTTTCAAAGGAGTTATATGTATTTATTGCTTACTTTGAATAGTCAAAAATGTAAGTAGTCATTTTCAGACATGTTGCATCATTCAAAAATGTAATCGCGTCTTATATGATAGCAACGGTTGACTTTTGAATTGCTATCACATTAATTGGTATGAAAATTTAAACGTTCGATATGAAAAAGAGAGAGAGTATATGTCAATTATCACTAATCTATGCTCATTATGATTATTAGTGTTGGATGATGAAAGTCCCACATCGGTTAATTTAGGGAATGGTCATGGGTTTATAATCTAAGAATACACTCTCCATTGGAATGAGGCCTTTTGGGAATCCCAAAGCAAAGCCATGAGAGCTTACACTCAAAGTGGACAATATCATACCATTGTGGAGAGTCGTGTTCGTCTAACATGGTATCAGAGTCATGCCCTAAACTTAGCCGTGCCGATAGATTGGCAAATCCTCAAATGTCGAAAAATGACTAAGACTCCAAAGGAGTCAAGCCTCGAATAAGGGGAGGCGTGCTTTGTTCGAGGGGAGGTGTTGGATGATGAAAGTCCCACATCGGTTAATTTAGGGAATGGTCATGGGTTTATAATCTAAGAATACACTCTCTATTGAAATGAGGCCTTTTGGGAATCCCAAAGCAAAGCCATGAGAGCTTATGCTCAAAGTGGACAATATCATACCATTGTGGAGAGTCGTGTTCGTCTAACAATTAGTTTTTATATCTAATCTAACAAGCGAGACGTAATTCCAATATTTGGTGCACTTCATGATATAGTTTAACAGGTTTATATATACTTATAATCAAGAGGTTAGAGACTCGAATCTTTCTATCTTCACATGATGAATTTGTATATTACACAATAGAATAACTTCGGGTAGGAAATCTTGATGTAGTTCTCGTCCCACTCGTGAATGTCTCTAGTGGTCGATATGAGAGAGGCCACACGCATGGTCTAACCTCATCTACATTTGTAAGATAATGGGGTCTTTATGGCCCAAATTCCCCGACAAAAAATGCTATAATAATTCAACTATTGAATTAACTTGATTAACTGAATTAACTTGAAAGTTTGATATTTGTAACTGATATAATGATATGGTGTGAATTATAAATGTTTGATATTTGATTTTTTTAAATAATTAAAAAAACAAGTCCGGGTTTTCTCGTCTTTTCAACATTGATGATAGTGGGCCCTCCTGACTGTAAACAGATTTAGACTATCCATAGACCAGAAGAAATTAGGGTTGAAAAACTACACCTTTCTAGGGTTCAGATTCTTCAACCTTCCATCATCTGGGCCCCATTTCTGATCAACGTTTAGTAACCTTTACAAAGTGTCTTCATGAAATCCAACGGCTGTGGATGTAGAGCTCACCATCAACACTCTTTATCACTCTGTAGACGATTCCAGCCCAATGATCATTGTACCCCCAACCACCTTACCATCCATGCGGCGTTTTTATTTATTTTTTTTTTTTTTATAAATGTTAAAACTTTATAAAAAATATTAAATTCACAAATAATTACTTTATTATCCTTAAACAAATTATTTAGCATTTAAATAACCCTATGAAAATTTCGAACATAAATTTAAAATTATTTATAAAAAATTAAATAAATAATAATAATTAATATCTTATTTACTTAATTACTCTCGTGAGAATTCTAAAATGTCCCATTTATTTATTTTAGTCTATGTATTTTGTAGGCTAATGGGAGGGGTTAGCTTGGATTACAAGTAATCTTGTGTAACTAGTCGATGAACATGGCTACTACTTATTCTTCATTTTTTTTAGTTTTCTTTTGGAACTTTTCTACTAACAATTAAAAAAATAATCCTACTTGGTATATAAAATTGCTTATAATAATTACATTTTATGATTAAATTTGGATTTTAGAATCACAACTATAATATATGGTCTATTTTAAACTTAAGTTCGAGTGACTTTACTTCCTTATTTTATAAACAGATGATCATTTTTATCCTAATTTGATTTTTTCTTTTTTTTATCGACACCCTTTTGCTTTATCTGTTTTTCTTACTGCGTAGAGGTGTCGTGGTCTTCTTGCATAGCTTTCGATTCTCGTCTCTGTGTACCCTCCAAGTGTGCGCTTTTGGCTGGAGAATCTGTTTTGGCTTCCTCTGCTTCAAATATGTTTGCTCTGATTCTTTAATGGCGATGGTCGATTTTTGCCTAATTTCTACGAGGTTTGTTTATTGCTACAATCCATTTTTTTACTTTGTTTTTTTTGCCCTTTTGCTTTGTGATCTTCTTGGGACGGCTGTTCTTTACTTTACTTCATGTGGGGTTTCTTAAAATCTATTTCTGGTGTTTGATTCAGTGTTCTTCTTCTTCTACAGAATTCGTGTTGAGTTTTTGGGGATACCCCAGTAGTCATAGGGCGTTGATTTTCATCTGGACTTCAATTTTGGCTTCTGGGAATGGATTTTTTAAGTGTAGGGTTCTGTAGTTGGAGTTTAGTTCTTTGTTTTCGGTTGAATTTTGGGATGTTTCTTCATTATGTTCACGAATTGTTCTTTGAGATCTTACTTGCTCACAAACTAAATGAAAATGAGAGGTGGTTTGAATCTTGCTGCGCATCAGAATGCTTTAAAGTAATTGAAACTAGGAGTGAAATTTTTATAATGGGGGTAGAGTGTTGACCTTCCTTTGTTTTTGGCTTCACCCTTGCTTGATGTGATGTCTTTTTGCTTGATATGATCGTCTTTGTATCTGCGAGATCCCATGTTGGTTGGAGAGGGGAAAGAAGCATTCCTTATAAGGGTGTGGAAACCTCTCCCTAGTAGACGCATTGTAAAACCGTTAGCGATGCGTAACAGGCTAAAACAGACAATATTCGCTAGCGGTGGGCTTGGACTGTTAGAAATGGTATTAGAGCTAGACACGGGGGTGGTATGCTAACGAGGACGTTGAGCCCTAAGGGGGGTGGATTTTGAGATCCCACGTCAGTTGGAGAGGGGAATGAAGCATTTTTTTATAAGAGTGTGGAAACCTCTCCCTTGCAAACGCGTTTTAAAACCGTGAGGTTGATGACAATATGTAACGGGTTAAAGCAGACAATATCAGCTGGCGGTGGCCTTGAAATGGTATTAGAGCCAAGATACTGGGCGGTGTGCCAGCTAGGATGATGGGCTCCCAACGGGGGTGAATTATGAGATCCCATATCGGTTGGAGAGGGGAACGAAGCATTGTTTAAAAGGGTGTGGAAACCTCTCCCTAGCAGCACGTTTTAAAACCGTGAGTCTAACAGCGATATGTAACGGGTCAAAGCGGACAATATTTGCTAGCAGTGGGCTTGAGATGTTCCAAATGGTATTGGAGCTAGACATCGGACGGTGTGCTAGCGAGGACGTTGGGCCTCCAAGGGGTGGATTGTGAGATCCCACATTGGTTGGAGAGGGGAACAAGGAAACATTGTTTATAAGGGTGTAAAAACCACTCCCTAGCAGACACGTTTTAAAATTTCGAGGCTGACGACGATACATAATGAGCTAAAGTGGACCATATCTGCCAGCTGTGGGTTTGGGTTTGGGCTGTTACGATATCACCCGATTTTGTACTTCTTTTTCCTTCCTTTCTTTCCTCTCATTGTTTCACTTCCCACAGGTTCACTTACATGAGAATATACTACACTTGATGTTTGGAAGGTAGTGTACCTTGAAATCAGCTGCTCAATTTTAACCATGACTACCTCTGCAAATCAAAACAGAAAGGAGAGCTTGCTTGATGAGGTAATTTGTTCCATAAGATTTCATGTTGTTATGGTTGCTTCATGATGTGAGTCATTGCAGGTTGTGAGCTTGGAAAAGCAGTTAACAGCATCAATCCTTTCCAAAGGGATATTACATTCAGATGTCGAAGATCTATACTACAAAGTTTGTTCAATTTATGAGAGAATTTTCATTAATGAACACGAACAATTAGAGCTTCAAGATGTTGAATATTCTCTGTGGAAGCTTCATTACAAGCTTATCGACGAGTTTCGGAAGCGGATAAAGAGAAGCTCTGCAAATGTAGAGAGCCCAAAGTTGGGGACAGGACAGAATTCTAATGATGCACAGCGAAGTAGTAGCAATCATATTGCAGAATTTAGGTCGTTTCTCTTGGAAGCAACAAAGTTCTATCAGAAACTGATCTTGAAAATCAGGGAGTATAGTGGGGTTCAAAAAGAAGGCTTGTTATATAAGGCTTTTGGTGTCTCTAAAGGCATTGATCCAAAGAGAAAGAAGAAATGTCAATTCTTATGTCACCGTCTCTTAGTTTGCCTTGGGGATCTTTCTAGGTACATGGAACAGCATGAAAAACCAGATGCCCATTCCCACAAGTGGTTAGCTGCTGCTACTCATTACTTAGAAGCAACAATGGTTTGGCCTGATAGTGGAAACCCCCATAATCAGGTGACCTTTTTTATTACTGCAAAAAGGAAATCTATGTGATCCCATATAAGTTGGAGAGGGGATTGAAGCATTCCTTATAAGGGTGTGGAAACCTTTCACTAGTAGATGTGTTTTAAAACTGTGAGGTTGACGGTGATATATGTGGGTGGATTGTGGATCCCACATCGGTTGGAGAGGAGAACGAAGCATTCCTTATAAGGGGTGTGGAAACCTTTCCCTAGTAGACACGTTTTAAAACTGTGAGGTTGATGGCGATACGTAATGGGCCGAAGTTGACAATATCTACTAGTGGTGGGCTTGGGCAGTTACAAATGGTAACAGAGCCAGACACTGTGCGGTGTGCTAGAGAGGGCGCTAGGTCCCCAAGGGGGGTGGATTGTGAGATCCCACATCGGTTGGAGAGGGGAACAAAACATTCCTTATAAGGTGTGGAAACTTTTCCCTAGTAGACGCGTTTTAAACCTGTGAGGCTGACGGCAATAGTGGTGGGTTTGGGCTGTTACAAATGGTATCAGAGCCAGAAATTGGATGGTGTGCCAGCGAGGATGCTTGGGGTGGATTGTGAGATCCCATGTCGGTTGGAGAGGGGAACGAAGCATTTCTTATAAGGGTGTGGAAACCTTTTGCATTCCTTATACGGGTGTGGAAACCTTTTGCATTTCTTATACGGGTGTGGAAACCTTTCCCTAGTAGACATGTTTTAAAATTGTGAGGCCAACGACGATGCATAATGAGCCAAAACGAACAATATTTACTAGCGGTGGGCTTAGGCTGTTACAAATAGTATCAGAGCCAGACACCGGGCAGTGTGCCAATGAAGACGCTAGGCCCTCAAGGGGGTGGATTATGAGATCCCACATCAGTTGGAGAGGGGAACGAAACATTCCTTATAAGGGTGTAGAAACTTTTTCCTAGTAGACGTGTTTTAGAACCGTGAGGCTGACGGCAATACGTAACGCACCAAAGCGGACAATATATACTAACAGTGGACTTGGGCGATTACAAAATCATCTTATGAACTCTTTTTTCCAATCATGATATGAGATAGTATAATATGTTTTACTCAAACTGTTCATAGTTTCTTTCCAGTTGGCTGTATTGGCAACATATGTTAATGATCAGTTTCTCGCTATGTACCACTGTGTGAGAAGTTCTGCAGTCAAAGAGCCTTTTCCTGATGCTTGGGATAACCTTTTGTTACTATTTGAAAGAGTAAGACTCATTTAGTTTCTATCTCATCCTCTACACCTTTTTTGGTTGTTTTTACCACATTTTAACTACGTGACCTTACAGAATAGGTCATCTCTTATGCCTTCCCTATCTAGGGACGCCGAGTTCGATTTCTTGAGACCGTCTGAGAAGTGCTGTTTAGAAATCAAATCACAAACCAAAGATGATCATCAGTCTCTAGAGACAGACATGTTTTCTCTGCTCATCAGAACATTGGCTTTCTTTTTCATAAATTCGAGGTATTTTAGTTGCTCAACCTTCTGTGTATATATATACATTCATATTGTTTTTAGTCTAAGAAACTCCTAATTCATCCATACATGACTTGATGCAACATTTTGGAATGCTTTGCTTCTAAAGTTGTTTAGCTTGTTAGAGTCAACTTGATACTCTATGTTGCAAGCAAGACCGATGATACTTATGAGACTGGGTACAGATATATAGTAGATGGCTAATCTGGTAGAGCTATATATAGTAAACTGAAACTATATATATATATATATATACATTCTTAGACAGTGCTTTGTAGATGTACTTTCTGCATCTTCTGTATTCTCTTTTACTTAGTGTACATACCTGAAGTCTCTCTCATGTTCTGTGTTCATCTAGATCGAGTGTGTGCGTTGTACGATTCTAACTGTAACAGGCCAAGCTCACCGCTAAAAGATATTGTCCTCTTTGGGTTTTCTCTTTTGGGTTTTTTTTCAAGGTTTTTAAAACGCGTCTATTGGGGAGAGATTTTCACACCCTTATGAAGAATATTTCGTACTCCTCTCTAATTGACGTGGGATATCATAATTAATAGTCACTTAACGTTTTCTTTGCTTTGCCAATTCCATGTCCACCATTTTTTTTTCTGAGTTCTAACATTTCTTTATGGATTTCAATACATTACAGTTTGGAGCAATTCACAAGCACATTTTCATCTATGATGAGATCGCTGGATGAACTCCTGTCTCTAGATGATTCTGAATTAAATGTTTCATTAGAGTCGTACGAACTTTTGGATTCAGTGCGAACCGGCCCTTTCCTAGCCATCCAAATTGCTTCCGTATTCATCTTCATGGTACAGAATCTTCTCAGTAAAGCTACCCTGAATGATATGCAGCAACTTGAGCTAACCCACTTGGCATTGGTTGCTACCTTTGTTGTCATGGGACGTCTAGTCGAGAGATCGCTGAAGGCAAGCCAATGGGAATCATCCCCCCTTTTACCTGCGGTGCTCGTTTTCGTTGAATGGTTACCAAGCGTTCTTGATGAAGTAGTAAGATATGGTTCTGATGCAAAAACTAGAAGCTCCATGTCTTACTTTTTTGGTGCTTATGTTGAGCTTCTACAGAAGCTGAATGTTCATACAGCTGAGGCACATTGTTCTCTTGCTATCCCTCTGTGGGAAGATTATGAGCTAAGAGGCTTCACTCCTTTAGCTTTTGCACATGAACCATTGGATTTCTCATCGCACTGGGAACACATCGACAACTTCGAATTCGGAGCTGAACACCGTGCTTATCGCATAACGGTTGCTGCTACTAAAATTTCGAATATCGCTAAGGATTATCCCGAGTGGATCATTTATGACAAAGTAGAACAAAATGAACTTCCAGATAAGAAAGAACTGGAAGATCTGGAAGACCCAACTCAGGATGTCAAAAAATCTCTCCCTGTTGAAGATGAAGAAGTCATTCTTTTCAAGCCCCTCATGAGATATAATTCTGCACCGATCTCTATTGCAGAGAGCGATGAAGCTTCACCGAAAAGCATGGAGGCTCAGACTATATCTTCCAATGAATGCTTGAGGCGTGCCACGTCGCTACTTATAGAACAGACGCAGGGCCAGACCGATCCCTTTGCTTTTCATGATCTCAGCAGAAACGAGCCATTTGAGCAGCAGCAAGATGTTTCAGAAGGCACCATATCAACTGGCCCTCCTTCACTTAGTGCCTGGGTGCTCAATAGAGGTTTTACTTTCAACCCTGTTACAGAGAAAGGCACAAATGGTTCTGCTAAGCCTGGTTTGCAGCCCATTGATGAGTTAACTCTGGCATTCGTAAATGGTCTTACGCTCGGCGATACCGATAACTCGGCCTCGATTCCGAGCTCGAAATCTGGAAAATCCGACCTTTTTCCACCTCCTTCCTATTCCACCCCAGTACCTTCAGCTCCTTATTTACCTGATGATGCTGTTTGGACTAATGCTACCAATTCTAACATCTCTAGGGACATTGACCAAAATGATACATTTTCAAACTGGACTGCCCCTCAAGCTACATATGAATATGGTCCCATGATTGGTGGTCTTACGAATATGTATCCGTCATCGCATCGAATGAGTTCTTCGGAATGGCTTCGTCAATATCGGGAGAATCAAGTACGGCCACCTCCCTACAATGCTTCTGGAAACGTTATGAACTTGCAAAGAAATGATACTTCAAGGTATGAACATTTGTATCCAACAATGAATATGGAGAGTCCATTACGTTATCCAGCTTTCCCTGCAGCTTACAGCACGAATGAGAACCAAAAAAACATGTTCTTCCATGGTTATGAAAGGCCAAACCTGTATGGCTGCGGTGTTATTGATTTGAGAACTGAGCAGCCACCGGTTCTGCCGTATCTAAAAGATAAAGAGTGGCAGCTGCAAAAGGATGCTGCTAATAGAAGTGCTGCCTATATGGGGAATTGAGGTTTTTCGTAGTTTTGTCTATATTCATCGTTTACTCGAACCGAAAACTCGAAACTGTCTAATGAAAGCGTTTGCGTTTGTATATACATGTATAGAAAGTCGAAAAAATGATCTCAAGTGAACGTGTATTAAGGAATTGTCTCGCCTCAATATTGCATAAGGTTGTTTCCTTTTCTCAAAGATATGTGAAAGCGGACCTTCATGTCTGGTGATATAATGTGTTCTTGAGTTTCATTTACGACTTACCTAAAGTTAAGTCATGTTCAATAAAATCTAGTTTCACTAAAGTTGAACTCGGGTGCAGCTCATGCTAGTGAAATATTGTTTTTTTTTCTTTTTTTAATTTATTTAAGTAATCATCTCAATTATCGTCACGTTATTTTAAGTTACGATCATGTTATATTGAAGATTATTGAGAGGAGTAGTCTCACAGTTAATTAAGAGGAAAATCCTGAGTTTATAAGTAAGGAACACTATCTTTGTTGGTATGAAGTTTTTTAGGAAAATCAAATGCAAAATCATAAGAGTTTATACTCAAAGTGGACAATATCATACCATTGTGGAGAGTAGTGGTTTTTAACATGGTATCAGAGCCATGCCCTTAACTTAGTCATGTCAATAGAATGCTCCAGTGTCGAACAAAAAAGTTGTGAGTCTTGAAGGTGTAGTCTAACGTGACTCAAGTATTGAAAAAAAGATGTACTTTGTTCCAGAGTTCCAGAGAAAGAGTCGAGTCTCAATTAAGGGGAGATTTCGAGAGCTCCAAAGAAGGAGATCTCAAGGGAGGCTCTATCGTGTACTTTGATCAACGGGGAGAATTGTTGAGGATTATTGAGAATCCATTGGTAAAAAGTCTTTTGAGGAAACCAAAACCAAACCTAGGAGAGTCTATGCTCAGTAGACAATATCATACAATTATAGATGGTCGTGGCTATCATGTTAATTTATAATTTAATATTTTAAATTATTTATACTTCAAAAATAATTAAAAAAAATATTATAATTTTTGAAACCATTGTTATATTGGGTTGTTAACAGAGGGATAGTGCCCTAATCATGGGCCAGAATGCTGTGTTCTTAGGAGGGAAGGCGGACCAAGGCGATCCACAGAGCCCATTAACACAGAAGGGAAGGGTTCGAAATCGATCCTCGAAGAACATGCACAGCTTCTGATGAGTCTTCCAAAGCAGCCGCAGCCAGTTTGATCTCGTTCTGGCCGTTCCATATTTCCGCAATGGCAGGACACGATTCAGGCGATGGAGAAGTATCTTCAGCCCAAGCAGTTTTGCTCGGAGCCTTAGCCCCTGGGGTCAACGTTAGTTCAATTTCATCTTTTATTTTCCAGTTCCCCTCCCCTTTGCAAATTCATACTCCGATTGAATTCCTATTTTCTTTACCTTATGAAATCAGGGTCCTACATGGACTACGCTTAAGTCGGCGTTTCTGATGCTGGGTCTGTGTCTAGTCCTGATGCTTAGCCTTGCATTCTCTGCCAGTGATTCTTGGTTGATTCTTCATGTTACGTTCCTAGTGGTTATAACTGCGACCCTTTTCTTGCTCCTTAACTGGTATGTTCAACTTTTTCATTCTTACTGTTCATATCGTTCTGGTTCCATTTTTGTTACAATTTAATTTTGTGACAACTTAGTCCTACTTTAAAATTTGTAAGTTCCTAACAATTTGATACTAATATGAAGAACATTGTTAAGATTTAATGAAATTTTGTGGGTATATAGATCTGAAAACTGATTAGGGACCAAAGTGGTTTCCAAACTAAGAATAAGTCTGTTACATAACAAGAATCAGATGGAACTGTTCAAGGTAGTTGATAAGGGATTAGTAAGATTCGGATCACCTCGTTGAGAAATATTTTAAGGTAAGAACACTTGTTTGAGATTCGAATCACTCGATCATATTGAGCTGGAATGATTCTAAACATGTAACCTAAACTAAATAGAATTGTAAAGAAATTTAGCCCTAATGATAAAGAATCACTCCAAGAGAAAGTAAGATTCAAATTACTTGTTGATTGAATATCTCAAGGCATGAACATTTGTTGGAGTTTCGAGTCACCCACAAGCAAGATCAATCATATCGAGCTTGAATGGTTCTAAACATTCAACCTAAGTTACATAGAATGACAGAAAAACTTAGTCATTGGCTAAAGGAAGACACAAATGCTCTTTTTATTGCATTTTCCAAGTTTCCTTTACAAATGTAACATACATGGCTTTATATAACTTCAGAATGAAAAATCTTGGTCTTCCTATAACTTCAAAATGAAAACTCTGGGTCTTCCCTGAGGTATTTCAAGAGTTGTAACCTTCATAACTATAATTAGCCACCAGCCACCATGTAAATGTAACCTTAAAGTAAATAAAAGTTTTAAAGTATATTAAAGAAATGTCATAACTCTAGATTATCATCCACCCAAATTTTGTACCCATCCAAGAATAAATGAAGTTTGATTCTTTTTTAATGTAACATGAATTGCAACATCTTGTGGTAATTTGAAGAACATTTTTTCCACATCTTTCTTGAAGTTTATATTGCATGATTGATGTCTTGGTTCATTTCAATAGTTATTAAACTATTTCAAATTTGAACGGTGAGGAGTGAGTCTATGTGGCATACGCTGTGTTGCACATAGAACGAGAATTAAATCAGGAAAAGTGTGGACCACCAACTTTCTGGAACTACCAAACTATTTTAGTCAAGAGCTGGTATTGTACCCACGGATTCAATGTCTGCATTGAGTTTGGCATTTGGGATAAACGATTGTAGTCAAGAGCTTGCATTTGACATAAACTGTGAGGAGTTTAAATTGAGTTTTGGGCCTCAATGGTGGGTTGTGAGGTGGGATCTCTCCCTTGCTTGGGATGGGAAGGGTGATCTCCCCAGGCTAATTGGGAGGTTGTTTTGAAGACTTTGGAAACTTGGTGGGTTTGGCATTTGTAACCTGAAAATTATGTAATGAAACATTGTTAGCGAAATGGTTGCGGTGTTTCTTCAAGGAACATAATATTTTGAGTGGGTAAGCTGGCTACGATGAAGGAATATAGGAAAATGTAACAACCCGAATTTTCTTGTACATAGTAGTCAGGGCCGTTATAAAGAAAAGTTGGGTTGTTACAGTTGATATCAAAGCTAGACGCTAGGTGATGTGCCAGCGAGGAGGTTGAGCCTCGAAGGGGGTGGACAAGAAGCGGTGTGCCAACAAGGACACTGAGCCTCGAAGGGGATAGATTGGGGGGTCCCACATCTCTTGGAGAAGGGAACAAATGCTAGTGAGGACGTTGGGCCCTCGAAGGAGGCTGGATTGTGAGATCCCACTTCGGTAGGGGAGGAGAACGAAGCTTTCTTTATGAGGGTGTGGAAACCTCTCTGTAGCAGACGCGTTTTAAAAATCTTGCATTTTCTCTATTTGGTAGGTTAAGATTCTCCAAAAATTGAAGTTCTTTGTCGGTTTGGTATTGAATGGGAGAACACACCTTGAATCGTATCTAGAACACACCTTGAATCGTATCTAGAACACACCATGAATTGTATCTGGAACAGACCTTGAATCGTATCTAGAACACACCATGAATTGTATCTAGAACAGACCTTGAATCGTATCTAGACCACACCTTGAATCGTATCTAGACCACACCTTGAATCGTATCTAGACCACACCTTGAATCGTATCTAGCGACATTCATTCTTGAATGTCTGTTTATTGAACTTTTTGTAATTATCAACTTAGCTTGATTCTTTTGGATGGTAATCCGTTCTTGTAGTTAGTGATGTGTTCCTTTTTGGGTTTATGCATCTGCCTGCCCTACACTGTTTTTATCATTCAGATGCTTATGAATGAGTTTTGATTTCTATACAGGTTTCTTTCCGAGACTGGCTTGGTTTCAGTAAAGAATCAAATGGAAGAACTACAGATGTCGCCGAAGAGTCGAGATAAAAGCGAAAAGAACGAATGATCATTACGAACTTTATAACACAATAAACCAAGACATCAAATGGGTATGCCTTAGGAGACTCAAACAAACAGATAAAGACAGCAACCACGGTACGTCATCGTGATCGATAGGTATTATAAATCCTCCATTATTCGAAGCGGGGAGAAAAACCCGAATTTATTTTCAGAATAAACACTTGCAATGGTAACTTCATTCATGCTTTGGGTCATCCTCCTTGTGCTTTCCTTTCTTCTGCTTGATGGAACAGAAGCATGAACAGCATGGTAACTGTAAAAAGAACTTCATTGCTTGTTGTGTTTGATGTGGAAGTTAGGAGAGCAAGACTTCATTTATATTATGCAGAGACGTATAGAGCCTTTTCTTTTGGTGTCTTTATTCCTTATTTCTTTGGGGATGCTATTCTTGTTTCTTACAGATAAGAAGATGCTTAGCCTTGCTGAGCCACTTTCCTGAAACTTGTGGAATCTGAGATTATTTTGTTGATGGGTTATTTCCAGGTTTTGTATTATGTATTCTTAAGGCTGTCACATTTATATTTTAATGAATTAATCTTTATGCCTATTTTTTAAAAAAAAAATAATTATCTAGTTGATTTTTCTCGGAGTATTTATGACTTGATAACTCGAACAACTTGAACTTGGGTTGATATAGATTTTTTTTCTTTTAATTGGGTTATGTTGTACTTTTTGGATGACTTGATAACTCGAACAACCTGAACTTGGGTTGATATATATTTTTTTTTCTTTTAATTGGGTTATGTTGTACTTTTTGGATGACTTGATAACTCGAACAACTTGAACTTGGGTTGATATAGATTTTTTTTCTTTTAATTGGGTTATGTTGTACTTTTTGGAAAATCGAAAATTTGTTTAGTTCACAGGTGGAAGCTTTTTTTGTCGGGTTGTGAAAATATGGTTCACAATTCAACCCTGTCATGCTTTTAAGATTGTTAGAAAAATTAAGAATATTTAATGTTTGTAGTAAATGCTAGTAATGTCCGGAGTAATGTCGTATGTATAATGTTTAATATTTGAGTTTTATGAGATTTTAATTATTAATCTATAAATAAATGGAATGTTTTTAAATAATTATAAAAAAATGAATAAAATCCAACTCAAAGATAGAGGTTTGGATAGAGGGTTGAGTTGGGTTGAAATGCAAACTTTATTTCTGTCTCTTCAATTTTGAACATGAGTTGAGTTAAGATGTAAACTTTATTTGGGTCTTTTCCGTCAAACACCAATATAAACACCAAAACCAAGTATTACCCGTTCCTTCGAAGCTATAACTACCAAAGTAGACTTGTTGTTAAACCTTAACCGGAAAGAAGTGAAACCAAGTATTATCGGTTCCTTTAAAGCTATAACTACCAAAGTAGACTTGCTCTTAAACCTATACAGGAAAGGAGAGAAGCAGTGAGATCGAGTTAGAAAAGAGATACGATACTTCATTTTACCAGGGTTATTTGAAGAACCTCCACAGTAAATTCATTAAATCCGGAATGGTCTGAGTTATAAATCCAGCCAACCCTAAAATTTTACCTTTTTAGTTTGTAAAAAAAAAAGCCAATAATAATAGCTATTTCACTTTATTCAGCATAAAAAAAGAAAAAAAAAAAAAGATCAGTTGGTGCAAAAATTGCAACGAATTTTCATCTTATCTTAACGTGTTGACTGTGCAGACAATTGAACCACGAGGCATACAAATACATCACCACGTGGCAACAACCCCACGTGTCACATGCTAAACTCTGCCACTTCTTCCTATAAACTACACCTTACAAACCCCTTCAAATCAACACGTTCAGATTCAGAAAGAACACAGAGAGAAAGAGAGAACTCCGGTCGGTGTCGGTGTTTGAAACTGAAACAATGGCAGTAAGCATATCCTTAGCCAAAAATGTCATCTTCAACCTCTGCAAGGCCTTCCCCAATGCCTCTCCTTCTCCAACTCTCAGATATTCCACCAAGATTTCAAGGGTCTCTTTCACTACTTCCGCCTCTAAGCAACCATGGGTATCATTCCTCATACCAATTTCATGTTTTAGAATTGTTATTTTAGTGATTTGTTTCATGGGTTTGGTTTGTCGTATAGAATGGACATGGCGTGGATGCGAACCGAGACCCGAGACCGGATTTGGCGTATGAAGATGCGAAGGGAAGAGCGAAGGAAGGAGCCCAAGACATGAAGGAGAAGGCGAAAGACTACGCCGAGGGGACGAAAGACATGGCGAAAGAAGAAACCAACAAGGCTGCGGAGACAGCGCGGGCTGCGAAGGAGAAAGTGAAAGACTACGCCGACGATGCGAAGGAGAAGGCTAAGGAAGGGACGAACCGGGTAGCGGAGACGGCGGAGGATGCGAGCGAGAGAGCAAAGGAAAGTGCGAAGGGAATGAAGGAGAAGACGGAGGAGATGGCGAAGGAGGGGACGAAGAAGGCGACGGAGACGGTGCAGAATATTGGGGAGAAGGCGAAGAAAACAGTGGAAGGGGCATGGGAGGCGGCTAAGGATACAACGCAGAAGATAAAGGAGAGGGTTGTAGGGTCAGATGAAGATGAAAGGGATGAAGATGTTGTGGATCTTAGGAGGAGTGGGAGAAAGTTGGATGATTAAAATAAGGGGTGGGGTTCCTTTTAATTGCATCAATGAAATTTCATGTTGTTTTAGGCTTTTGATCAAGAGATATTCTGTGTGTTGTGTGGGAACTGTGGAATAAGGTATAGATATTTGAAGGAAGTTTGTTTTGTTATCCACTTTAAAGTGTGTATGAATTTAAACACACCAAGGAATTTGTTTGGGGTATATACATTGGGTATCATTATAGCTAATGGATATATGGGATATATAGTTTCGGTTAAATATATCTTTACCATGAAGATCTATCAAATATTTCGATATCTGCGAGTGAAGTATACCATCTGCACCATCACTGTTGTGTTTTGTTTTCGGAGGGCTTCTTTCTCAATAACTAGCTCCATAACTAGCTCCTCATCAACTGACTTCCTTCACTAGTCAACCAATCACTAGTCAGCAGCAATCGATAGTGTAGTGTAATGAAGAATATATATCTATTGTAATGAAGAATATATATCTAGTGATAGTTCTAGATAATCTTCTCAGGTGTCATTTGCTTGGCTTCCTGCAACTCGAAGCAACTCAGCATCATACAAAGCTTCCTGCAACTCAACATCATCACTAGGTACCCTTTGCGGTGATACATCACTAGGTATCATTTGCTTTGCTTCCTGCAACTCAACCTTAACTCCCAAGATGATATAATACATCACTAGGTACCATTTGCTTTGCTTCCTGCAACTCAACATCACTAGGTACATCACTAGGTGATTTCAGCAACTCAACCTTAACTCCCACTTGCTTGATATCTTTCAGCAACTCAACCTTAACTTCCACTTGCTTGTACAAAATATTTTCATCAAAAGTTATGTCACAGTGTCTTAGAACTTTTCAGTTCTTATCATCCTAAAACTTGTATTCGAACATGTCAGAACCATAGCCTCTGAAATAGCACTTCACAAGCTCAACGTCAAGCTTGTCACTCTTTTCTGGATCAACACAAACATACACAATACAACCAAAAGTTCTCAAGTGAGAGTACATGAGTTCTTTTCCTACCCATACTTCTTATGACAGCTTGAACTCCAAGAGTATTGACGACTCTCTATTGATCAAGTAGACTGTTATATTTACAGCGTCGGCCTAAAGTTTCTTTGGCAATCCACAATGAATCCTCATACTCTTTGTCTGCTCATTCATAAGTCCATGACAGTGCTTTAAGATAAAGTTTATGTTTTATGTTGAAGTTTTCAAATGATTATTTTCGCACAAATGAGTATAGTATGTATACAGTAACAACTTTAGACTATAAAAAATCTAAGGTCATTACAGAAGTATTACACATAAGGCATTGTGCCCATATAAAACTCGATTGTGAATGAGGTGCTTAAAAAAATACATGACTCTATTCTTAGTGTTCGTAATGAGGTGAGTTACGTTAGATCATAAGAGATAGGACAAAATACAACTCTTTCAAGGTAAATAAAATATTTTACTAGTAGTTTTTATTTTTGTTATACTTAATTTATTTAAACTAAATATTTTTATTGTTTTTATGTAATAGGAAGGTTCAAGTTTGTACTAAGTTTGTAAAGTGTGACTCCGTGTCTCTTAGAACTGTGTTTTTAGGTATTTTGTTGAATGATTATATATTGTGAATGTGGATAATTAATTATATGTAGGTGCAGTTGAAATTGATTCATTGTTTATCTATTGCATTTATATAGCTGATAATATCCATGCAACCGAGGTTTTGGTACTTTTAAACTAAAAGTTTATAGGCGACAATTCTTTTAGTGATAATATCACAACTTTTATTCCAAAAGTTTTGAATCCATTACCCAAAATACTAAACCTTAAATACCCTAACTCAACCCGAGAATCGACGGTTGGGTTGGGTTATCAATCCAATAAACCTGAAATTTTGGGTTGGTCCAAAAAATTGCTCCAATCCAACCCAACCCGACCCTTGTATACCCCATGAGGAAAAATAGTCTCACATAGGGTGGAATGAAAAACAAGGGAGTTTCTCTACTATAAAATATGGTAGCGTGATCGAAATAATTGGGATGTTTTATCTCACTTAGTCAAATCGAAGCCAGTCAGAAAATATATTTTTTGACGGCTCGAGCTTGCCTTTAAGATAATCCTGCTTGGGTCTAATATACTCAGACACTTTCCTACCATTTTCGACTCTTTGGAGCCATTTCTAACATTTTCAGAGGTGTTCAAGCCCATATAAATAATTTTGAGCTGAATTTAGATTATTTTGTACAATTAGATGAGTCAATTTCCATAGTAAAATTCTAAATTATAATGGTACAATTCCATAGGTAGAATTAGATTTCAAATTGTAACTTATTAGTTTTGTTGGATGAATTTTTTGAAGTATGAACGTTGCATGTCCTAGGAACCCTACACATATCGTGTTTTGTGATTCTTTGACGTGTATTTTGTTATGAGACAATTGTGCTATATTATGCATCTAGTTGTGAACTCAATATATTATGATGCATGAACCTCTAAATGTTATGTCACGCACACCATGTTAGCATGTTATTCATGAAAGTTATATTTACAAAAATTGATGGTATGACTCGTATCATACATATATGCCATGATATAAACCTATGGAGACCTCGTGCATTTTGTGTGTTACGTGCATCACGATACTTTCCCGTTATGATTAGTACGAATGTATAGACTACGAAATTATGTCCACCAAGATATTTTGTGTGCTTCTTTCCCTCCATAGCCTTTCCAGTAGTATGTCTGTATGCTAGCTAAAGTTTAGGTTTGAGGGTACATATACGAGTCTACCTGGAGCTCAACGTGCGCATGCGTGAGCCATGATGTTTTAAGTAAGGATATGTTCCTTCATGATTGCATTTATTACTTAGTATTTCTAAATATTCAAGTCACGTGCAACTTTCATATTATCGATTTTCTGCTATTTTCTGCTATATGTTGATTTACAATATTGTTTTAAGTGAACTTATTGTAATAAACCTTTAAGCGTATAGATTATTATTTTATTATAAAAAATAGAGCAATTGTTTTTTACTCAAATTCTTAAATTGATATTTTAAATTAAATATAAAAATTTAATTAAGAAATTGGTTGAATTTGAGTTTGGTTCTTTATTTTAAAATCCAACTTGAGATGAAATCCAATTAAATTGAGGGAAACAGTGTTGTTTAAACTGTTACTCAATTAGACGGTATACTCTCCATTTAAACTGTTTTTCAGATTCACTTTGAACCCTTAATACTTCAAAGTTAGAAGTTGATATCATATTCAAATGGCTTCTCTTAGAACAATTGTTTGTGTGCTTGTGTTTCTTTTCTATTGTAGTTTCAATGTCTTCGAAGCCACCGAATCTCATGGAAGCCTTGCTCCTGCACCAACTCACCATGGCCACCACAAAGCAGCCGCTCCAAGCCCACATCGTCGTCGTCATCATCCTCACCACAGAAGCCCTGCTACTACACCAACTCACCATGACCATCACCACCACGAAGCCACCCCAAGCCCCCACCACCATCACCATAGCGCTGCCCCAAGACACCATCACCATGCCCACCACAAAGTAGCTGCCCCGAGCCCTCACCATCACCACCACCACCACCATAGCGAACACAAAGTAGCTGCTCCAAGGCACCCCCATCATGCCCACCACAAAGTTGTTGGCCCAAACCACCACCACCATGCCCACCCAAAAGTATCTGTCCCGAGCTCTCACCACCCCCTGCCACCATCTCCATAGCAAACACAAAGTAGCTGACCCAAGCTACCACACCACAAAGTAGCTGCCACCATATAGTCCATTGGAGCCCCCTTCAACATCAATAGTAATGGAATTTAAAATAAACCTATTATTATGCATGTTATGAATGGTTCAAACGAAAAATATCTAAAGTTGGTGTGAACTTTAAAATTTGTGGTGGACTTCATTATTCATAAATAATGCAAATATGGTGAAAACACACTTTAAAATAAGGTTTATACATCTTCTAGCCAAGAAATCAAACATTCAAAGTAAGAATGTTTCTTGATTCTTATTATTTTAAGACTCGAAACCAAAATTCGTAAGCGGGCCCGGGCTTTTTCCAGCTGTTCAATGGCCTCCCGCGGAGTTCTTCTGAATTTTGAATTGTCCACAAACCATTCCTACTGACGGTCAGTTGAATATGATCTCATAAAATATAATGAATAAATTTTAGAAGCAAACAATCACCTAAAAGTCATAATTTAAACACAAATACTATTCTTAAATTCATAAATCATACCTTCGATTCTTTTTCGATTCTTGATTTCAGTAATTCAAAATCTAAACCTACGAAGAATCATGTTTTGAGCCACTTTTCGTGAAGGATTCTCGACCAAAGACTTTAAGTTTGAATCTCACTTTTCAACTTGCTCTTTCAAAAATCCTAGCCACTCTTTTCTTTTCCTTTTTCTAGGAAGGCCCCACCTTCAGGGGCTATAGAATGGTTAAATTTGTATTGAGTTATAAATCTATTGCTTATAGGTTTCTTTGGAGTTTTTGTCTCCATATACCAAGTTTGAACATAGGACATCTGCACCTCGGATACCTCGTATGTTGAGTTCTTGGAGACTACCATTTTGCCTTCCTTTTTAACATTCTCAGCTACTTGTCCTTTTCTCAACTATTGAAAGATGTGCAAACTGATTGGTGGGTTCATACTCGTCGTGTGGATCGTGTACGGTGAAATTAAGTACATATCTAAATTGGTTGTTAGGATAGCCGGTGTAAGAAAATAGACTGTTATAATAGGTTCTTTTAACGAATCGAAAAAAAATTCATAAAACTTTCGTGGTCTCCAATGAGACTCGAAAACTCCGACAAACGTTGGAGTTTTCGTTCCAACACCCATGACGCACCCCGCCACTTTCCACAGATTACCAGAGCTAGGTATCATATATATTTTCTTTTCATCTAAATTGTTACTCTTTCGAGTTTAAACTCACAAATATTCTTCAATAATGAAAGGGTTTTGAGTAGTGTGATACCTGAGTAAAAGAGAGTACATGAATGAATAATTCGAATGAAAGCAATCAAGAGTATCGATGACAAAGAAAAGCTAAAAAAGAACGGAAAGTTACTACCAATATCAATTAGATGCATTTTCTTTTCTCGTAGCTCAACAATAGCAACTCTCAATTCAACGGGAGCAATTTTATGTTGGGTGACCTTATG